TTAGTGTCGCGCACATTCGTCCTACAAGTTTGCAAAAGCTTCACGGATGGAGGATGGGTCGTTTTCGAATTGCGGTTCTTGCTTTAGCGCCGCGCGCATTCGTTTGAACAGTTTGCAGCCGTTTCACGGATGGAGGGCGGGTCTTTTACAAGTTGTGGTTCTCTCTTTAGCGCCGCGACGCTCATTTTTGAAAGTCGGCAAGAGCTTCGCGGATGGAGGTTGGGTCGTTTTCAACGTGCGGTTCTCGCCCCAGCGCCGCGCACATTCGTCGTAAAATGTGGCGTGCGTTTCTCGGATGGAGGCGAGTTGCCTTCAACATGTGGCTCCCGCCTTAGCGTTGCGCGCATTCACTTTAAAAGCGTACAGGAGCTTCACGTACGGAGGGTGGGTCCTTTTCAAAAGTGGCTCTCGCCTTAGCGCCATTCGTTTTAGAAGTGTGCGAGAGGTTCCTGGATGGATGGCGGCTCTTGTGCACCATGTGGCTTTCGCCTGAACTCCGCGCACATTAGTCTGACACGTTTACAACAATTCAGCGGATTATGATGGTCGACGTCCCACGAATGCTGTTCCGGCGCGAAATAGGATTGTCAGGGCGCAGCAGTCCCGTTTATTCGTGGTGTTGACGTCCCAGGAAGTATGTTCTGGCGCGATGCGGATCGTCAGGACGCAACAAACAGTAAAGTTGATTCGCGGCGTCGAAGTTCAAGACGTGATGTTTTGGCATGATGGCGGATTCTCAGACGGTTATCTTCCAACGGGGCGCTTCCCACAGTGAAAAGAAGTTTTTGTAGGGACCTCTGAAGAGGAAACTTGGAGTGAGGGTTCATTTGGACATCGTTGATGCATTCTGGGTGTACCATGGCCCTCCTCCTACTCCAGCGGTTCCCTCTCAATCCTGATCCGCCTCCTCCTTCTTCTCCTGCTATTCATCCTCCTCTTCCTTCTTCTTCCTTCTATTTCTCTCTCTCTCTCTCTCTCTCTCTTCTCCTCCTCCTCCTCCTCCTCATCTCGGCTTTCTACATGCGTCTCCACGTCCATCTCTCCTCCTCCCTCCTCCTCTCTCCTCCTACTCACTCCTCCTCCCCCTCCTCCTCTTTCAGGAGGAGGAAGAGGATAACTCGTGGGATCAATATTGTAGTGGCCTCCCGGCCAGTGAGGCGATCAGGGCGCTTCTTGGATGACGATGAAGATGGATTGATGATGAGATAATTGATGATATTGAACGATGATGATGATGATGATAGATGATGATGATGATCGATAGATGATGTTCTATTGATGATGAGATGATGATGATGATGATTGATGATGATGATGTGATGATGATTGATGAGGTGCGATGGTTGTGGATGGTATGATAGGTGATGGTGATTGGAGATGGTGATGATCCCGGCCACCCCTACCACCCCCCTTCTCCTACTCTCCTGTCTTCCCCCTCCTTATCTGGTCCCTCCCACCACTCTCTCTGTTCCCCCGATCTCCCCCACTCGTCTCCTGTCCCCCCCCCCTCTCTCCTGTCCCCCCCCCCTCTCTCCTGTCCCCCCCCCTCTCTCCTGTCCCCCCCCCTCCCCTCTCTACAATTACTCAATATGAATACTACTCTCCCTCTTCCCCAGATGGCGTGCTGGGAGTGGCCGACCCCCCCCCGCGTATTGTTTTTTACACACAGGATTCCCGGGAGTTGGGTTTTCGCCTGCGTTTTTTTTCGTTTGTTTTTTTTTCAAAATGCTGCTCTCCCTGAGGCGCCGGCCTCATTTCTGCTCCCGAATCGTTCCGGATCGTGCTCCCGCTGCAGCGTGGGCCTCATTTTCGGATCGGTGTTTGGCCTCCGTCGTTCAGGATGGCGTTCTCGCCCCAGCGCGGGCCTCTTTCTCGCGCGCCCATCCGCCCGCCACCACCGCGCCGCACCACCACCTCCACCACCACCACCACCACCACCACCACCACCACCACCACCACCACCACCACCACCACCACCACCACCACCACCACCACCACCACCACCACCACCACCACCACCACCACCACCACCACCACCACCACCACCACCACCACCACCACAACCACGCACACACGCACGCACGCACGCACGTGCACCACCACCCACTACGCACGCGCGCGCGGAGCCACAGGTCCGCTACGACACGCGTCCGCGGATAGAGAAAATCAGCGCCATGGTAAGGGATGGGAGGGAGGGGTAGGACGTCAGATATGACGCGAGCGCACCTAGCTTGTCCTCCTCCCCCTCCTCCTCCTCCTCCGCTTCCTCCTCCCCCTCCTCCTCCTCCTCCTCCTCCTCCGCCTCCTCCTCCTGCATGCCCGGCCGGGAACTTCACAGCTACGGGCAGCTCGCCGCTGGCAGCAGCACTTTGGCACGCTGGAGTTGGCTGCCACCTTCGAGCTCACAGACGTAACCCGACTGGCGGGTCATTTCACACGGGTGCCATATGATCGGATGTCCTCCGATCCTGTGCCCATTGAAACCCTGCCGACCCTGTCGGAGTTCCAGCAGGCAATAACCCACGTTTCGAAAAAATCGGAACAGGAGGTTTGTTATATCTTCGGCCCCTGGGGGGCCGCACTGGGCCTCGGGACCGTCAACAAAACGACCCAGCACGAAGAACTGGCCCCGGGGAAGGGGTCCGGACCTCTGGGGTTCGACGCCATGAAAAATTCACGACGTCGGGGGTCTGCATTGGGCAGCGGTAAGGGGCTGCCCATCCTCCTCCTCCTTCTCCTCCTCCTCCTCCTCCTCCTCCTCCTCCTCCTCCTCCTCCTCCTCCTCCATGCGGCGTTTTTCCCCGATTTCGGCCTCCGGGGGCCCGTGATCGGGCCCGGGGAGACCACCAAAGGTGGACCCGAGACGAACAGCCACCCCTGGGGAAGGGTCGGGACCTCTGGGGCCGCGGATTGGAAAAAAACATCTCGTTAAGTTGGGCGTGTCCCCCTACAGGGGGATTTCCGACGAAAAAACAACAATACGCCAGAAACACTCCAAAATGGCAGAATGATTGAAAGAAAACATATCGTTAAGTCGGGCGTGTCCCCCTACAGGGGGATTTCCGACGAAAAAATTAAGAATACCCCAAAAACATTCCAAAATGGACAGAAAATACAAAAAATCGTCCCCTGATTATTTTTTGACTATTTCTGAATCTTCCCCCTGTAGAGGGACAGGCCCGACTTACACAAATCGGCGGGTGCCTGGGGCTCTGGGCCTCCCAGACGAAAGAGTGGATGAGGCCCGAGCTTTCTGGCGCTCTCGTCGGCTTCCCAGCCTGGGGATGCTCTCTCTCCACCAGCTGGGCCTCGCCAAGAACGCTGCGGGGGTGCCTGGGTCGCCACGAACTGCCGCCGGAGTCCCGAGATGTGGCCCGAGAACTGGGTTTCGTTACGTCGCATCTTCGGGGGGACCTCGCCCATCCCCAAACATGGGCTCCTCAGTTTGCGCCCGACGCGGGCTCGATGCGAGCTCCACGCGGATTTGTCGCGGATTCGACGCGGATTCGATGCAGATTCGACGAGTCCGACACGGATTCGACACGGGTTCGACGCGGATAGGGGCGCGACGGGTCTTCGGGAGACCCTGCCTGTCCCGTCACGCCCCTATCCGCGTCGAATCCGTGTCGAATCCATGTCGGACTCGTCGAATCCGCGTCGAATCCGCGCCAAATGCGCGTCGAGTCCGCATCGAGCCCGCGTCGGGCACAAGAAAAGACATCTGCTTCGGGGACAGGCGATGTCCCCCGAAGATGCACGGTACCCTGGGGGGCTTTTCTTGAGCATGCCAACAGCGGGGCAGACGTGAGACTCGGGTTCGGCGGACTCGGGTTGGCCCGACGGGGCCGCTGAGAGCATGACAGGACCCAGCCTGCAATCTGACGCGAAAACTGACCCGAGAGAACTGACCCGTCAACATTCGTGACGTGCCCGCCAGTAAAGCGTCGGCAAACCGAAGTTCTGGCGAACTCGAGTCGTACGCTTCCCCGAGTCGTCGTCGTTCTCTTCCTCCTCCTCCTCCTCATCCTCATCCACCTCCTCCTCCTCCTCCTCCTCCTCCTCCTCCTCCTCATCTTCCTCCTCCTCCTCCCTCTTCCCCGTCCTCCTTCTCCTCCTCCTCCTCCTCCTTCTCCTCCTCCTAGTCGTCATCGTCCTCCTCCTCCTCCTCCTCCTCCTCCTCATCATCATCATCCCTCTTCCTCGTCCTCCTTCTCCTCCTCCTCCTCCTTCTTCTCCTCCTCCTCCTAGTCGTCGTCGTCCTCCTCCTCCTCCTCCTCCTCCTCGTCGTCGTCAAACCCAAGTTCTGGCGAACTCGAATCTCACGCTTCCCCGGAACAGTCTTCATAGCACCGAACCAGCTTAGCACTGGTTGCGGCCGATGCGGGCGTCCAAGGACGGCCAAACCGACCACAACCATAGCCAACGCGGTCCTGTCGAGGTCGGTGGGTTCCCCGAAGGGCCCTCCAGAACACTGGTTGTTGTTCTTCGTTGTGCCCGGAGCACCGGAACTCGTTCACGATGTAGTGGCCGATGCACTTCGACTGGAAGATGAAGAGGAAGGGCGACAGCGTGAGGTAGCTCTGCACCATCTTCCACATGGCGTGCTTGAGGTTGCGCTGCATCCACAGCTCGGCGAAGAGCGGGAAAGAGGTCGCGAACAGGAACAGGATCAGGAGCCACGAGTAGCACGTCGCCAGTGCGGACGCCATCACAGCTGCGGCAGATCTCTGGCCGGCCTCGCACATCATGAAGGCGTCCAGCTTGCCCTCGCAGTCGGACAGGAGCACCAGCAGCCACATCCAGACCAGCAGTGGCATAGACCAGGAGACGATGAACTGGTTGAGGTAGTAGCCCGCGTGCGCGTAGAAGAAGGTGAGAGCCTCTGGTAAGTGCAGCACCTGCCCGAGCCGGAACATCTGGCGCGTCAGGATCTGCTCGCCCGTGCCCGAGGAGAGCTTTGAGAAGAAGCCGAGCACGGTGTTGAAGCCCAAGTCTCTCCCCTTGGCAAGGTTGAGGTACTCGCAGTGTTTGATCTTGCGGCCGTCCCCGCGCAGTGTGAAGTCCATGCCTGCGAATATGTCCTCCGAGAGGTTCAGCGTCTTCGTCGCTTTGGATACGCCACCCTGCTGCATCATGTAAAGCTTGTTCATGATGTCGGGGTGACCGTAGTGCATTCGGGCCCCCAGCACCGCGTAAGTGCGCTGCAAGATGGTACCGAAGGCCACCTCGGCCGAGGCTGCGAAGTCACCCACCGAGCCTATGTCGCTAGTGATGTGCTCCGGGAACCCGAGGATCTTCTTGCTGCTACCGTCACCACGATGGCGAGAGCGGAACTCCCCCAGTGCGCATGGCAGCAGCATCATCTGCTCGAAGTAGGCGCCCTGGTTGGCATCGATTCCCTGCGAGTAGTGGCCGCGCATGAACGGAATGGCGTGATTCTGGTTGTCGCCCTTGCCGTCTCCGAGGATTGGGTATCCTGGCAGTTCGATCTTGAACTTGGGCCTCCTCTTGTCGCCCTCCATGGGGCAGGTCTTGTCGATCAGACAGCTGTAGTAGCGCCTCTTCTGCCTTTCGTGCACCCCGTCCAAGCTCCCGGCGGGACCCTTGGCCTCGCAGTCGATGAAGGCAACCTTGAGGGACTTGGGGAACTTCTCGAACATGTAGTTGGTGTGTTCCAGCATCGTCTTGTCGAAGAACTTGTACATCTGCATGGACACCATGCAGTTGAAGACGTCGCTGGGGTCCCACACGCTCGCGAGGGAGCTGCTCCTGTCCCCCTGGACCTCGAAGTGGGCCTGGATCGCTGGGTGGTAGTAGCACATGCCCGCGACGGTCCTGAAGAGGGTCTGCTGCCGCATAGCCGCCCAGTTGCTGACCTTGCCCCACTGGTAGTCGGTGTAGTTCTCCCACTCGGAGCCGACCACGTGCCACGCCTCGCTGGGCGGCGCCCGCCTGGCCTGCATCCGCGTCGTGAAGAACTCGAACTCGTCCTGGTATCTTGAAGGGGCCCCAGGACACACAAATAAATACACACAAATAAAGATATTCCCCCTCTTTTCCATATTTTTCTGGGTTTCTGGCTTCCCCCCCACTTCCCATATTCTCCCATATTCTCTGGGGAATCGACGATTCATTGTGTCTGTGTGTTTTTTCCCCTCCTGGTACTTGTGCGTCAGCCAGTCGACGAGCGGCACGTTGTCGCTCTTGGCGTTCTTGAAGAGGTCCTTCTGCTCGGACGCGGCCGGGGGGTCTGAACGGGCATGGGATCCCAGAACATCGGTCCAACGTGGGGACGGGGCCAAATCCGCTCACAGTCGGTCCTGGACCCCTCCCAGGGCTTCTCTACTGCATTTTCTCACCCCAGATCTGTTTTTCACAGTCCTGGGGCCTGAAAGTGGCCCCCGGGGGCGAAACACAACAACGGCCCGAACCCAGGGCCTCCGACCTGCCAGCCCTGCCTGCTGGCCGCAACCAGTGCTGGGCCGCCTCAGACCCCCACAAAGCTCCAACCCCCCGACCTCGCCCCGTCCGACGGTTCGCGGCGGTTTCCTAGCCTCGAGATGCTCTCCGGCGGCTGCGTCTCGTCGAGGGCGTTCCAGGCGTCAGGACGGAAGTCTTTCGTCGGCTTCGGTCTCTGGGAGCCCTGACTGGGCCCCAGGACCGTCCCAGACATGCGACGTCCTGACTTTTTCAAGACGGCGTCCCCGGAAGTCCCGACCCTTTCCCGGGGGCCGGTTTTTCATCCGGAGTTCGTTTTTGGACAGTCCTGGGGACCGGCGAGGGCCCCCAGGGGCGAAAATAGCGAGAAAATTGCCGTCCTGGGCCCCAAACTTGCGACGTCATATTTTTTCAATACGCTGTCCCGGAAAACCCGACCCTTTCCACGGGTCTTGCGTTTCGCCCTAAATTGGTGCTTCTCGACGGTAACAGGGCCTGGCGAGGGCCCCCAAGAACCGACAATGCCCCCAAACCTCCCGTCTTGCTTGCTTGCTTTTTCTCAAGACGCGATCGTGGCTGGGACCTTCTTCTGCATCAGGATGGTCTCCCCGTAGTGCGGAATGAGCACCGTGATGCCAGGCCTATAGTGGGCCCGGGAAACGGCAAGGCCGTTTTTTCCCCGTTTCCGAAAACAAAGACTCTCGAAAATGGAAGCGGCAAGAAGCGGCGACGGGAAACGGCACCAAAAACGGCTCCGGGGTTGGAACCGGAGCCAGAACCGGCAAAAAACAGCGACGGAACCGGCAACAAAAAACGGCGCTGGCACCGACCAAGAAACGGCAAAACGGAACCGGTGAAAAAACGGCCCTGTCGCTTCCAGGGCCCACTAAGTGCTGGGCGCCCTGTATGGCGCCCGCACCTCTGCTGTTCCTCGTCGTCGTGCTGGTCGTCGTCGTGCTCGTCGTGCTCGTCGTCGTCGTGGTTGTCGTCGTCGTCGTCGTGCTCGTCGTCGTCGTGCTTGTCGTCGTTGTCGTCGTGCTCGTCGTCGTCGTCGTCGTCGTCATGTGTTTGCCGCTAAGCGCCGGGCATGTAGGGCGCCCGGTAGGGCCGGGGCATGGGGAGGCCGAGCCCCCGCGAGAGGGCCAGCACGCGCCACTGCACGTCGGCGTTCTGGGGCCAGTGCTGGTCGGGCACCCCCGCGTAGGTCTGCAGGCACCGCTCGGCGAGGGGGCTCTGGACGAAGATGTTCGGCACCTTGACGCGCCTCTTGGAGCGCGTTTTTTGGGTTGTGTCTTCTTCTTCTTCGTGTCATGTTTGCTCTTCTGTTTCATTTTCTTAATAATACTTATCCTTTTTAATATGATCGCTAGTAACATTATGATAATTAATATTATTACTTTCCCGTTACGAAAGTTAATTCATCTGGGCCAAAATTGACATGAGTGGTCGCTGTGGTGAGAAGTGGTATGGGAGTGATTCTTCCCTGTGGTTTCATACGGGGAGAGATTCAGAGTTGCCTGGAAGTGACCGGGAGTGATTTCTCCCTTGTGAATTTACGGGTGAGAGATTTTATCCTGAATTGGTTATACTCTATTAGTGCTACCAGGGAGAACCCCGGAAATCTCTCCCGCCGAGCCAGGCCGAATACTGCTGTGCTAGGAGTCTGCGGGGGAAAGGGGGGCCACTCGGAGACGCCCTAGTCGTCAATGCTCAAGATGAATAACTTTCGTAACGGGTAAGTAGTATCACTACTTCGATGATGATTACTATTTTATGATGACGATGATGCTGGTGCTGATGATGATGCTGATGGTGAATATGATGAGTATTCTTATTAGTATCATTTCTGTGTTTACTACTACCACCACCACCACCACTACTACTGCTAATACTACTACTACAACTACTACTACTACTACTACTACTACTACTACTACTACTACTACTACTACTAGTATTATTACTACTACTACTACTACTACTACTACTACTACTACTAAGACTATTACTACTACTACTACTACTACTACTACTACTACTACTACTACTACTACTACTACTAAAACTACGACTACTACTACTACTACTACTACGACTACTACTACTACTACACTACTACTACTACACTACTACTACTACTACTACTACTACTCACGACTATTAACCTCTTACTACGACTACTGCTCCTATTTCTTCCCCTTTTGCTACCACGGTACCACTACCACTACCACCGCCGCTGCCCTACCACTACCACTACCACTACTACTACTACTACTAACTACTAATACTACCTACTACTACTACTACTCACTACTATACTACTACTACTACTACTACGAACTAATAACTACTACTACTACTACTACTACTCTACGACTGCTAACTACTACTGTACTACACTACTACTACTCTACTACTACTACTACGACTACAACTACTACTGCTAGTGACTGACTGACTACTACTACTACTACTACTACTACTACTACGACCTACTACTACTACTACTACTCTAATAGTAGTACTACTAACTACTGCTACTACTACTAGTTAAAACTACTACTACTACTACTAACAACTACAACAACTAACCACAACAACAACCACACTACTACTACTCTAATACTACGAGACTACTACTCTACTACTACGCTACTACTACTACTACTACTCCTACTACTACTACACTACTACTACTACTACTACTACTACTCGACTACGAAGTACTACGAACTGTACGACTACCACGACTACTACGACTACTAACGACTACGACTACGACTACGACTACGACTACGACCGACGACGACGACCACGACTAACGACTACTAATACAACTACTACACCTACTACTACCACTACTACTACTACTACTACTTACTACTACTACGACTACTACTACTACTACTACTACTACGCTACTACTACTACGACTACGACTACGACTACGACTACGACTACGACTACGACTACGACTACGACTACTACTACTACTACTACTACTACTACTACTACTACTACTACTACTACTACTACTACTACTACTACTACTACTACCACTTCTCTGACGTACCATAGAACGATTCGCGATGGCCAGCACAGGACATGCTCCCTCACCCCCCACCCGGTAACGCCACGGCTCGCGCCCACCGCCATTTTGGAACGGCCATGGCAGGGGTAGGTCATTCCCCAGAAAACCGCGCCGGCGCGGATCGCGACGTGACCGCCCCCCTCGCCCCCCTTCTCCACACCCAGGTCACGCCCGTTATCGCCCGGGAATAGAGGAGGAGGAGGAGGAGGAGGAGGAGGAGGAGGAGGAGGAGGAGGAGGAGGAGGAGGAGGAGGAGGAGGAGGAGGAGGAGGCGGAGGAGCAGGAGGAGGAGGAGGAGGGCCCTGAGATCCGACGTTGCACAGAAGTTGCAACATCGCAGAACATCGCGACCAGACCCCAGGCCCCCATCTTTCTGCGTCATCCTTCGAGCCAGGTCGGACGAGCAGCGGCATGGGTACGCGGCTGGGCCCCGGACCAGGTCGCCTTCGGGTTACATCTCGAATCCCCGTCGGCCGTTCGGGGAGATCTGGGCACCCCCGGAACCGAGGGCGGCCAAACGGGGGGCGTCCAAGAGGGGGTCGCAACTCATGGCCGGCGGCATGTGCGCGGCCCAGAGAAGGGGGGGGGCGGGGACGCATTGAAACAAGACGAGGCGCCATGAAATCTGGGGCGATAGCATGGCTCCCGCCATGATACCCACCCACCCCTAGTCTTAGGTCGGGCATGCTCTCCTACTGGCTGATTTTTGAGGCGAAATCGAAAAAGTTAGAACAGATCCCAAATAGTACAAACAAATATTAAACAACAAAATCGTCCCCAAGCTTTTTGTTTTAATCCTATTTTTCATTTTAGAAGGGAACTGTTTTTGAGTTTCCTCCTGGGAAGGGACATGCCCGACTTAACCCTAGTCATCACCCCCCTCTGGCCCGCCCCCGGCAGAAGAAGCCCTCGCCGCCACACAGCTTGGAGTAGTGAGACCTCGGGGCACCGACGACACCGGCCTATAGAACCTGGAGTCCGACGCCACAAGTCAATTGCAGCACCGTGCCCTGACATGATCGCGTCGTAGAAAAACCAAGACAAGCGGTTTTTCGCTATCTTCGGCCCCTGGGGGCCCTCGCCGGTCCCCCGGACCGTCGAAAAACAACTCAGGATGAGAAACCGGCCCGGGGGACAGGATCTGGACTTCTGGGCACGCCGTCCTGAAAAATTCAGAATGTCGCACGTTTGGGTTAGGTCCTGGTCGTGCAACTGTTTCACGACACGCGTTTTCGCTCCATTTCGGGCCCCGGCACCCTCGCGTCCCCCTCCTCCTCCTCCTCCTCCTCCTCCTACTCCTCTTCCTCCTCCTCCTCCTCCTCCTCCTCCTCCTCCTCCTCCTCCTCCCCTGGGGCCGGCTTCTCATCCTGAATCGTTTTTGACGTCCCCGGGGCCCGGCGAGGGCGCCTCCAGGGGCGGAAAATGTATAGAAAAGCTGGCCGTCCCGATTTCTTCTACGACGCGATCATGTCTGGGCAGGGGCCTTGAGCTTCGACCCTCCTCCGCCTCCTCCGCCTCCTCCTCCTCCTCATCCTCCTTCCTCCTCCTCCCTCCTCCTTCACTCCTCCTCCATCCTCCTTCCTCCTCCCTCCTCCTCTCCTTCCCTCCTCTCCTCCTCCGCCCCCCTCTCTCCACCTCCTCTTCCTCCTCCTTCTCCTCCTGCTCTCCTCCTCCACCACCTTTTTCCCCTCATCTCCGCCTCCCCTTCCTCCTCCTCCTCCTTCCTCCTTCCTCCTCCTCCACCTCCTCCTTCCTCTCCTTCCTCCTCTCCTCCTTCCCTCCTCCTCCTCCGCCTCCTCCCCCTCCTCTCCTCCTCCTCCTCCTCCTGCTCCTCCTCCTCCTCCTCCTCCTGCTCCTCCTCCACCACCTTCTTCCTCCTCCCTCCTTCTCCTCCTCCTCCTCCTCCTCCTTCCTCCTCCTCCTCCGGGACCTCGAGCCTCGACATTGTTGCGCCTCCTCCAGGGCCGAAGGCAAGCTGCGGATCAGCCCATATCATATGGGCACGTGCACAGGGCAGGGACCACCACAGGGCCCCGTCTTCGAGACGGCATCCGCCCCGCAAGCTGCACTTCGCGCTGTGACAAAATAGCGACGGGAAGCTTCTCGCTAGTTTCGGCCTCAGGGGGCCCTTTCCGGGCCTCGGGACTGCCAGAAAACGGCTCGGGACGGAAAGCCGGTCCGGGGGAAGGGGTCCAGACTCCCAGGTACTCGCCGCAAAAGAATCACGACGTCGGGGGTCTGGGGGGAGAGAGAGAGAGAGAGAGAGAGAGAGAGAGAAGGACGCACGACGGGGGAGGATAGGGGAAGACGGGAGGGGCGAACGAGGGGGAGGACGCACGAGGCCCGAACATGCGACGTTCTGATTTTTCAGGACGGCGTCCCCGGAAGCCCCGACCCCTTCCCCGGGGCCGGTGTTTCGTCCTTCGGGCCCCCAGGGATCCGACCTCGCAGATCGAGCCAGCTCGGACAGTGCGGCAGAAAGCTGGGGTCTACAGGGCTCCGCTCGTGATTTCTGGCCCAGACAGGCGACGTCCTGAATTTCTCAGGACGGCGTCCCCGCAAGTCCAGACCCTTTCCCCCGGGGCGGTGTTCTTCATCCCGAGTCGTTTATGAACGCTCCTGGGGCCCGGCGAGGGCCCCCGGGGGCCGAAGGTAGCGAAAACCCGCCCGCCCTGACCTTTTGCACGACGCGATCATGTGAAGGGGCCTTGGGACACACAAATGAATACAGTGCGTGTGTGTGTGTGTGTGTGTGTGTGTGTGTGTGGTGTGTGTGTGTGTCTTTGTCCTCCTGCTCTACAGGGCAGGGCAGGCCGCGGGGGCGCGAGCTCGGGGGCGCCGGGGCGCGGCCGGCGGCCCGCAGCCCTCTCGGCCCCCGCGGCCACAGAGCCGGCACGGGACGCGACAGTCAAGACGGGCGTGTCCCTCTGCAGGGGGAATACTCAAATAATACTAAAAATTATCCCAGTGCGACCCTACCTGGGAGTTGGAGCATCTAGGAAAGCAACATCTACAGCTACACCGGCAGCTAGCTATGCTATGCGATGCGATGCTATGCTATGCTATGCTGCGCTATGACATGCCATGCTATGCTGCGCTATGCTGCGCTATGTTATGCTATGCTATGCTATGCTATGATATGCTATGCTGCGCTATACTATGCTATGCTAGGCTATGCTATGATATGCTATGTTGCGCTATGTTATACTATGATATGCTATGCTTTGATATGATGCACTATGCTATGATATGCTATACTATGCTATGTTGTGCTATAATATGCTGCACTATGATATGCTATGCTATGATATGCTATACCGCGCTATGCTATACTATGCTATGAGAAGCGATGCTGTGCTATGCTTTGTTGCGCTGTGCTATAATAAACTAGGATATGGCATGATATGATGTGATGCGTTATGATATGCTATGGTATGCTATGCTGCGCTATGCTATGATATGTTGCGCTATGATATGCTATGGTATGATATGCTGAGCTATGCTATGATATGCTAAGCTATGCTGCGCTGTGCTATGTTAAACTAAGCGATGTTGTGATATGCTATGAGATGCTAGGCTATGCTATGATATGATATACTGCGCTATGATATGCGATGGCATGTTGCGCTATGCTTTGCTGCGTCATGCTATGCTATGCTATGATATGATATGCTATGCTATGCTATGCTAATGCTGCGCTGCGCTAAGCTAAATTGAGCTAAGCTAAGCTAAGCTAGGCTAGGTTAAGCTAAGCTAAGCTAAGCTAAGCTAGGCTAGGCTAAGCTAAGCTAAGCCAAGCTAAGTTCAGCCAGGCTAAGCTAAGATGAGATAAGCAACGCTAAGCTAAGGAGACGTAACTGGGGGAACCGCGGGGCGGATGCCGGGGGAACCGCCCGGGGCGTTCTACACTGCCCGACCCCTTTAAGATAGAGAGTAAGAACCCTTCTAGGCAGAGCCTAGGTAGGGAAACAATCAAAAAAAGAACCTAAGCTAAGCTAAGATGAAATAAGCTAAGCTAAGATGATATAAGCAACGCTAAGCTAAAAGGACGTAACTGGGGGAACCGCGGGGCGGATACTGGGGGAACCGCCCGGGGCGGGCCCCACTGCCTGGCCCTTTAAGCCACCGAGTAAGAACCCTTCTAGGCACAGCCTAGGTAGGATAAAAATATTCAAGAATAATCAAAAACATTATCAACAAATGGTTGAGCACTTGTGGGGTATACTTTGCATTTTATTCTTTATGTTTCGCCCAGAATCCCCCTTGTAGGAGGGCACGCCCGACCTCGTGCTACAGTCAGAACGTGTACTTCTCGAGGACGGGTGGTGGAGGACGCTCTCCCCTTGTAGGGGGACACGCCCGACCTGATGCTACAGTCAAAACGTGTATGTCTCGAGGACGGGTGCTGAAGGACGCTCTCCCCCCCAGACCCCCGCGCGCTGCGGACCACCTCGCCACGGCGAGCTCTCCGCCGGCTCCGGCCTCGGGGCGCCCCCTCCTCGGGCCTCGAGATCCCGCCGACGGAACGGCCTCGGGACGACGAGGCGTGGTCCCAGGAGGAGGGGGTCGCGGCCTCTGGGGCTCGACGCCGTGACCAAATCGCGGCGTCGGGGGTCTGGGTGGCTCTCTCTCTCTCTCTCTCTTTCTTTCTCTCTCTCTCTCTATAGATATATATATCTATATCTCTCTCTTCTCTCTCTCTCATTCTTCTCTCTCCCTCTCTCTCTTGCTTCTCTCTCTCTCTCTCTCTCTCTCTTTTTTCTCTCTTCTCTCTCTCTCTCTCTTGCTTCTCTCTCCCTCTCGCTCTCCATGACAGTCCGAATGTGCCTTGAGGACGGGTGGTAAGGACGCAAGGCCCTCGGAGGCCGCATTGAAAATTTTGCGGGCGGGCGGCGGGCGACCAGCGAAGACGGCAGAGGACGGGCCGCAGAGGCGAGGCCACAAGGGCGCCCTGGATGAAGGCGCGCGTCATTACTGGGCGCGTTGACTGTACGACGGGCGAGCAGGAGCGAGAGACCACCCTCCATCTCGATCCTCATCACCACCCGGATCCCGAACCCCCAGCGGCATGATGTTTGTCGCAGCGTCGAACCCCAAAGGTCTCGACCCACCCCGAGCAGTGTCTTAAGGGCCACGGAGCCCCGTAACGCTTCCCGGAGACCGAACATAGAGAGAAACCTCCCGTCGCGACGCGAAAGGGTCTGGGTCTGGGTTTGGGTGTCTCGGCGGCCCCGTAATTCAAGCCCTGCGCGGCCCGCTTAGCTTCGACCGGAAGAGGTGCGCTCTCGACCCGCGAATCAAAAAGGTTTTGGACGCCAGAAATGGGTACGGAAAGAATGGGTACAATGCCCAACAACAAATGTTGTCCCAAACCAACAGCGGCAGCTGTTGGGCAGGCGGCCTTCTGTCTCGAATGGACACAGGCCGCGGCGGCGTGGACAGCGAATCCTGTTCAAAATGAACAGGAACTGCTGTTGGACATTCTACCCATTCTTTCCCTACCCATTTCGGGCGTCCAGAAAGATGTCTCGACGGCCCCGAGGCCCCGCCAGGGCCCCCGGAAGCTGAACAATGGCAAGAACTCCTGCCGCCCGCGGCCTCATCTTCCCGACTCGGGGAGCGGACGGCCGATCTTGCACCCCTGCTTCTCCTTCTCCTCCTCCCCTCCTCCTCCTCCTCCTCCTCCTCCTCCCCCTCCTGCTCCTCCTCCTCCTCCTCCTCCTCCTCCTCCTCCTCCTCCTCCTCCTGGTCCTCCTCCTCCTCCTCCGTTTTTTTTGTAGATAACTTCTCCCTGTCGCACCCCGAAGCCAGCTTTTAGGGCGGGCCGGGCGTTTCGCCTGAGACTTCCTCACCATTGATGACTCTGGAGCTTAAAAGTGACAACAGTTTCAAGGACTGAAGGCGGGTCGTTTTCAAAATGTGGCTCTCGCCTGAGCGCCGCGAACATTCGTTTTAAACATTCGCAAGAATTTCACGGATTGAGGGCGGTTCCTTTTCAAAATGTGGCTCTCGCCTTAGCGCCGCGCACATTCGTTCTAACGCGGATTCCCATGAGAAACGTACCAGACATGATGTTTGGGAAGGATTCAGGATCATGCGGGTGCAACAATTATGTTGATTCGCGGTGTTGAAGTCCCAAAAATAGCGTTCTGGCACGATTCCGGATCGTCAAGACGCAGCAGTCAAAATGATCCGGTGGCGTTGAAATCCCGAGAACAATGATGTGGCATGCTTCAGGATCTTCAAACGGTTGCCTTCCAACGAGGCAGGTCCCTCAATGAAAATGAACCGTTGTAGGGGCCTGTGAAGAGGGAACTTGGAGGAGAGTTAACTACAACATCGTTGATGACTCTTGGGGTTGCACTGGTCCTCCTCCTCCTCCTCCTCCTCCTCCTCCTCCTCCTCCTCCCCCTCCTGCTCCTCCAACTCCTCCTTCTTCTTCTCCTTCGCCTCCTCTCCTCCTCCTCCACCTCCTTCTCCTCCCCCCCTCCTCCCTCTCCCCCTCTCCGCCTCCTCCTCCTCCTCCTCCTCCTCCTCCTCCTCCTCTCCCTCCTCCTCCCCCCTCCTGCTCCTCCAACTCCTCCTTCTTCTCTCCTCCCCCTCCCCCTCCTCCACCTCCTCCCCCTCCCCCTCCTCCTCCTCCTCCTCCTCCTCCTCCTCCTCCACCTCCTCCTCCTCCTCCTCCTCCTCCTCCTCCCTCCTCCCTCCTCCTCCCTCCTCCTCCTCCTCCTCCTCCTCCTCCTCCTCCTCCTCCTCCTCCTCCTCCTCCTCCTCCTCCTCCTTCCTCCTCGGGGCCTCTTCGCTCCCGCGTCCCCCGTCTCGAGGTCGCCCGCGGCACTCGCTCGGCTGCTGGTGGCCTGCGACCCTGCGCCTGCGGCCCCCTGCCTCGTGGAGGCACAAGCCGACCCGTCGGAGCCGAGCGCGGAGGAGGCGGAGGAGGAGGAGGAGGAGGAGGAGGCAGGAGGAGGAGGAGGAGGAGGAGGAGGATCATGAGGAGAAGGAGGAGGAGAAGGAGAGGAGGGAGGAGGAAGGAGAGAGGAGGAGAGGAGAGAGGCGAGGGGAGGAGGGAGGAGGAGGGAGAGGAGGAGGAGGAGGAGAGGAGGGAGGAGAGGAGGAGGAGGAGGAGGAGAAGGAGGATAATGAGGAGGAGGAGGAGGAGGAGGAGGAGGGAGGAGGAGGAGAAGGGGAAGGAGGAGGAGGAAGAGGAGGAGGAGGAGGAGGTGGGAGGTGACGAGGAGGAGGAGGAGGAGGAGGAGGAGGAGGAGGAGGAGGAGGAGGAGGAGGAGGAGGAGGAGGAGGAGGAGTGGGAACAAACTGCATGAGCATGAACTTTCGGAGCTCCGCGCGGATCTTCTGGATCGGCGCGCCAAGGAGAGCGATCTGGCAGGTCCCCGGGACCGTCAGACAAACAACGCCTCGGGATGAAAAGCAGGCCCCGGGAAAGGGTTGGGACTTCGGGGCGGATGTCTGGACCGCACGTCCTGGGCGAAGCGAAGCGAAGCGAAGCGAGGCAAAGCGAAGCGCGCAAGTCCGCCGGAGCGGGACCCTTGAGGGTCGGCGCGGGCGCGCACGTCCGGGGCGGATGCCTTGTATCGGCGCTGGGCCCCCCTCCCTGGCGCGCGGAGCGCGCCAGGGGCGGCGCCGGAGGCGCCGCCCAGGGGGGCCCAGCGCAGATCCAAGAAATCTGCGCGGGACCCCGAAAGTTGACGTTTCCCTTCGGCGGCAACTCATGGGCGCCTCCCTTATTAGCTGAGTGGCTCTTGTGAATCGACCCTGATCGACGCTAGTCGACGCTGAACGGGCGATATCTCATTGATTACGAAACGCTGATCGGAGGAGGAGCTCTTCCGCAGCTCTTCCCTGGGCGCCGATGGCGCCTACGCTAATCGGAGGAGGAGGAGGAGGAGGAAGAGGAGGAGGAGGAGGAGGAGGAGGCATGTAGGAGGAGGAGGAGGAGGAGGAGAAGGAGGAGGAGGAGGAGGAGGAGGAGGACGGTTACCATACGCAAGCCAAACGCTCATCGATTTTCATGCAGTTGTTCTTCCCTCAGTGCCTGGACTGCCCGACGGGCGCCGCGAGGTCCTCCCAGTAGACGTGGTGCCCCGTGGCGCCCACCTCGAAGGACAGATCGCCCAGCTGGGCACTGCTGACCTCGTCGGGTCCGCCGAGCCCATTGCCGAAGTTCGAGGTGACGTGCGAGGTTCGAGGTTCGAGGTCTTCGGTTCGAGGCTGGAGCAGCATCTTGTAAAGGAGCCCAAGGACACACTCAACACACAACAACACACCACACACACACACACCACACACACACACACACACCACACACATCACACCACACACATCACACACACACACACTCATAGATGGACGCAAATCCCAGGATCCCCCATATTTGTCAGTATGTTTGGGACTTTCGTCTTCCCCCAGCACCTCCCATATTCTCATACTTTTCATGGGATTCGCCGAAGGTTTTTGTCCGTGTGGTTTTTTCCCCTCCAGCTTTTTGCTGCTGCTGCTGTTTTCGCCGCTGCTGGCCGATTGGCCCCGCGCCTGCAAAGGCCACCTGGGCACCGCTGACCTCGTCGGGTCCGCCGAGCCCAGGGCCGAAGCTCGAGGTGATGTGCGAGGCTCGAGGCTCGAGGTCTTCGGTTCGAGGCTGGAGCGGCACGCTTCGAGTCGGGGGTCAGCTACAGAATCGATTGACTCCAAACTTGATTCCCCCACCGAACATACCGACAGGACCACCCTACGGGTGATGATGAGGTTGGAGGGGGGGAGGGGGGGGGCGGTCGATGTGCGATGACTCCCACCCGCCGCCGCCAAAGAGTGCGCGGGCAAATAGATACCACCTACTTCCACTAGCTTCTTTCTAACTAATATATCTACAGTTCCATGTTTCTATCCATCCGTCCATACATCTACCTATACGGCCACCCTTCGGGTGATAAGGAGGTCGTGGGGGGGGGAGAGGGGGGGGGGACCAACATCTGACTCAATCGATCTCACTATCGGTCTCACTCAACGGGACACCACGGGACACCACGGGACACTTGTCGATCTCATCATCGACCTCACTATCGACCTCACTCAACGGGACACCACGGGACACCCCAGGCCACCACGGGACACCGCGGGACACCTCTCGATCTCACTATCGGTCTCACTATCGATCCCACTAAACGGGACACCATAGGACACCACGGGACACCACGGGACACCACATCGATCTCCCTATCGATCTCCCTGTCGATCTCACTATCGATCTCACTCAGCGGGACACCACGGGACACCACGGGACACCTGTCGATCTCACTATCGATCTCACTTTCGATCTCATCTTTTGGGGCACCACGCGACACCTCGGGGCACCACATCGATCTCCCTATCGATCTCACTATCGATCTCACTCAACGGGACACCACGGGACACCACAGGACACCACGGGACACCGCGGGACACCGCGAGCCACCGCCGGACGGACGGACGGACGGACGGGGGAGAATCATGTGTCTTGACTTCGCCTTAGCAACGGCAAGCACCACGGGACACCACGGGACACCGCGGGACACCGCTACGGCCACCGCCAGACGGACGGACGGACGGGGGAGAATCATTTATCTTGACTTCGCCCTAGCAACGGCGGACACCACGGGACACCACGGGACACAGCGGAACACCGCTAGGGCCACCGCCAGACGGACGGACGGACGTGGGATAATCATTTGTCTTGACTTCGCCCTAGCAGCGGCGGGTTCATTCCTCTCGCGCGCCCACGTAGCTTCGCCTCGCCCGCACGCACGACACGAACGAAACGAACGGATGTTGGAAGAACAGCGAAACTTAGCCATATGCAGCTAAGAATCAAACATACTAGAACAATCGTCCCCAGACTCTTTTCTGTTAGTTTGGAATACTCCTTCTGTAACGGGACATGCCCGACTTAAGGGTAGCAAGGCTGGAGGGCCCAGAATCGAATCGATAAGTCGGATCGGCGACCGAAATCAATCGGATCGGCGGAAAGCAGCAGCCGCATCGGGAAGAACCGAATCGGCGGAAATCGGCAGTTTAGCAGGTCTCCATTGAGACATCGGAGCCCGAATCGGAATCCAAAGCCGAATCGAATCGGAATCGGAGGCCGCCGACATCGAACCGAATCGAATCGGAGGAATCGAGACGAGCCCTGGCAAAGGGGATACCCAGAGATCCGACGTCGTGATTTTTTCAATACGCGATCCCCGGAAGTCTCGACCCATTCCCCAGGACCGGTTCTTCATCCTGAGTGGTTCTTTGACGGTCCCGAGGCCCGGCAAGGGCCCCCAGAGGCCGAAATTCATGAAAAACCTCCGCCCTGATTTTTTCAATGCGTTGGATCTCTGGGTATAGCCAGCCAGCCCACGCGGCTGGCACTCCCATCGCCCTCCTGCCGCCCGCCAGGCGCGCCCGCGCGTCGATGCACAGAGACGCCGCCCGGCGGGTCCGGGCCGAGACCGGCTGCGTGCAAGCAGACCGGCGCCGCCCCTGCTCTCCCCCATCCCCCTGCCGTTCCTGGAGGCCTCCTGCGAGGGGGAGGAGGAGGAGGAGGAGGAGGAGGAGGAGGAGGAGGAGGAGGAGGAGGAGGAGGAGGAGGAGGAGGAGGAGGAGGAGAGGAGGAAGAGGAGGAGGAGGAGGGAGAGGAGGAGAGGGGGAGGGAGGAGGAGGAGGGGGAGAGGAGGAGAAGCAGGGAAGATAGGACAGAGGGAGGAGGAGGAGGAAGGAGGAGGAGGAGGAGGGAGGAGGCGGAGAAGGAGGAGGATGGGGGGAAGTGAGAAGGAGGAGGAGAAGGAGAGGCCTCGTATCGGCGGCGATCGAGGGGCGGCAGTGCGAAGGAGAAGGCCTCCTCGGAAGGCGGTGGGACCTCTCAGAAGGCCTCGGGCCTCCTGAGAAGTCTTTGGTGTCTTCGGGGAAGGCTCAGACCACCTTTTTTTTTGGGGGGGGGGGGCGTCCGAGCCTTCTGAGAAGGCCTTCTCCTTCTCACTTCCCCCCCGGGCGCGCCGCCGATCCAGGATGGGGTCCGAGCAGATGAGGTCGGAGCATCGCGCTGCATCGCCGATGCATCAGCGATGCATCTGCACCAGCGACGTCGGCGCGAAGAAAATCGGGCTCCGCATCGAGCTGCATCGGCGATGCATGGGCGATGCGGCGCGATCCTCCGCCCCCAACTACTCGGACCCCATCTAAGAGGCCCAGACTTTCGTCGTCTGACTCTCAGGCCAGAACTCCAAGGAAACAGGCTCTATACACCGGCGTGTTTGGTCCGGCCCTGAACTGGCACTTGCACAGAAAAACAGATCCTGGTGTGTACGGGATCCTGGTGTATATATATATATATATATATATATATATCGCCCCGGGGAAGCGGAACAAACAAGCTTACACCACACCACCCCCACGTCGTCCCCAGGTCCTCGGATTGAAAAACAGCCTGCCACTGGTAGTGTAGGTGTTCCAAATTCCGAAGCTCGGGTCCCTTGCGGCCGTTCAGCAGGACGATCCGGGCACCTCTGGAAAGCTCGCGGCGAGGCGCAGCTGCCGGAGAGCAGCCCAGGGCTGGACGACCGGCGGGAGCCGACGAAAACGTACCCAAACATCTGGCGGGCGCTCCTCCTCCTCCTCCTCCTCCTCCTCCTCCTCCTCCTCCTCCTCCTCCTCCTCCTCCTCCTCCATGTGTCAACGCGTGGAAACCGGAGGTCTGGACAACCTCACCAGGGTCGGTTTCCACCCTGGACCATTCTTTGACAGTCCTTGGGCCCGTTGAGGGCCCCCTGGAGCCAGCAGAACACGGTCGCTCCGATTTCTCCGAAGACTGCGGTCTCTGGGGCCGAGAACCTCGAACCTCGGGCCCCTTTCGTCCAGCCCGTGCCTTGTCCTCATAGCGCATGAACTCCACGATGCGGTCCCAGACGGCCGGGAACTTTGCCGAGAACGGGGCGGAGGCGGCCTCTTTTTTTTTCCTGTCTAGCAAGCGCCGTTGTCCAAAATGCCAAAGAACAGCTTCATGCTTGCATTCTTTCTGGGCTCCCTTGCTGTGGCACATCTGTGTCGCGATCTCTGGGAGGAGGAGGAGGAGGAGGAGGAGGAGGAGGAGGAGGAGGAGGAGGAGGAGGAGGAGGGGGAGGAGGAGGAGGAGGAGGAGGAGGAGGAGGAGGAGGAGGAGGGGGAGGGAGGAGGACGGGGGGAGACACATCTGCTTGCTCACGTTGAGACACATCGGTGGCACGCTTCCGTTGAGAAAGGCCGGGAGGCGGCCTCCCTGCCCATCGAGGTGTAGCACAGCACCTTCTGCGAGAAACGCTGGGGGATCTTGGCCACGGCGTCCTCCCAGCATCGCTGCCCCGATGCCTACGGCAGGTTCGCGCGGCGTCGGCGCGCGCAGGCGTTTCTGACCCCGCGTCGATCGTTCGACCTTGAATCGATCGCGGCCCCGATCGCTCAAAATTGGATCCCATCGGGTCCAACGCGGCGCTGCCGTGCCCCTCAGTGTTTCCGCGTCGCAGAATTCAGCCGAGAACGCCTTCGCAGGCGTCGCCGGCGCGCCAGCGCCGCGTAAACCTGCCGTACCCCCACTGGCGTGGCCTGGGCCCGACTGGCTGATTCCCCCCCCCGTGATGAGAGATGTGGTCTGTTCCCTTCTCAGAGATCCGAGGCTTCGTGAACACTTGGAGCGGCCAGCTTCGAGCCAGTGTTCTCGGCTTCCAGACGGCTCAGTATGAGAAACTGGCCCTTGGGAAGTCCTTCTCCTCCTCCTCCTCCTCCCTCCTCCTCCTCCTCCTCCTCCTCCTCCTCTCCTCCTCCTCCTCCTCCTCCTCCTCCTCCTCCTCCTCCTCCTCCTCCTCCTCCTCCCCCTCCGCGAAGTAATCCCCTAGTCTTCTCTCAACCCTTTTGGGGGATGGTAGGTCTCGCTTTGCTAGGGGTCTGCCCATTAGTCTGTGGGAAGTAAGTTACCCCAGCGCATTGCAGTTGATCTCCTTCCCCTTCCCTTGCTCCTTCATGCTTCCCCCCTCCCTCCTTCCTCCCTCCAGACAGTTCAAGGAATTAGCAGCCAGGTCGCAGGCGAAAGCAAGCGGCTTTCCCCGGCGGGTCTTGCCATGGTTTCACCATGCCCGAAAGTCCGAACCTGCAAGACGGCGTTCAGGGATTGTTCTTGTCTGGTGAGGGGGGTAATTGGTGGGTGGGATGGGATTCTCTGCCCCGTTCTGGGGAAGGTCTGCGTCGATCCGTTCTGGCCTGGGAACGGCCCATTAGAAGGTGGGCAGCGTTTAAACCGGGCTAGTTTGTTTCAGGCGTTTTCCTTCTCCTCCTCTCCTCCTCTAGGGGTAGGGTTCCTGGCGCCGAATCGGAACTGGCAACTCCCCAGGCAACGCCTGGGGGTCAGTTGCTGTCCGAGGAACGCGCCTGAGCTTTAGATCATCCCCGAAGCGAATGCCCAACAAAAATGTCCTCCTCCTCCTCCTCCTCCTCCTCCTCCTCCTGACTTGTCCAGACCGGCGGAGGTCCACACATCGGGAAAAGTGGAGAGCCGGATGTCCGGGTTCGTGTTTCGAAGGCTGGGGTGGCGGGGCTGAGATGCCGTGGCCCGGTGGGGATGGGGGCACAGTCGAGGCGTTGACCTAAGGAACGATGAATAAGGAACGAGGCCCCTTTCTCCCATGTGTAAAACTCCGATGTTCCATGGAAAACCTCAGGAAAACATAGGAAGACCCGAGGAGCACTGTAAAGTAACTAAGGAACACGGAGCCCCTCCCCAGCAAAAAGGGTTCCTTCTTCAGGGCCCCGGCTGTAGTTTAAACGATACTGGTCCTCGAACATGAAGGCGCTGCATGGGCAGCCGTCGCCGTTCCTTGCCAGGTGTCTCTGGACAAAAGTGGTGGCGACGCCCAGGAATGTGCAGAAGACCGTGAACCAGAGCTGGGTGTCCGCGAGGTAGAGCGCAAAGGTCGCTCCCCACAGCACGATCCAGATCAGCACGTCGCCGCCCCACACCGCGCTGAAGTACGCCTGCTCGATCTCCTCCACCGACTGGTGGCCTGGGCGGCTGAGCTGCAGGTCACGCATGGCATTGCTGATCGCCTGGATTGACTGGCTCCTCCTCCTCCTCCTCCTCCTCCTCCTCTCCTCCTCCTCCTCCCCCTCCTCCTCCTCCTCCCCTCCTCCTCCTCCTCCTCACCTCCTCCTCCCTCCTCCTCCTCCTCCTCCTCCCTCCTCCTCCTCCTCCTCCTCCTCCTCCTCCTCCTCCTCCTCCTCCTCCTTCGACCACCACAACCAAGAAAGGCAGGTCGAGAAAACCGGCTGCCCCTCAGGAGGGCCATCCCCAACGCGCGGTTCACGGGCAAGCGAGCAACCAGAGACGCGTGTACTGCAGGCTGCCGCGAGACCTCGCGTCGCGAGGGGAGAAACGCCCAGTGGCAACCGGATCGCCTGGACGATGATCAGCCCGAGCACGAACTTCACTGCGAGGACGACGCCCCAGAAGCCGTAGCGCACGGCGCGGCTGGCCAGCGGCACGGCGGTCGGGCTCTCGAAGGGGAACCTGTTCGGGTGTTGCTAGAAGTGCCCCTGGGCCAAGGTGCCCCCAGGAAAGGCCTCCAAAGCACCCCTCACGAAGCCCAGAGGGCCCCAGGGGCTCCAAAATGGAGCGAAAAGCTGGGGGCACCTTGGGCCAGGGGTACTTCTAGCAACACCCGACCTGTTGTAGGCGCTCGAGGGCACGAGGAGCAGGCAGGCCAGGCCGTAGGCGGAGAGCAGGTAGTGGACGCCGGCCACGTAGTTCAGGAACTCGTCCTCCTCGTCGTCGCTCTTCCGCAGGAGGGCGTACGTGGCCAGCGGCGCGAGGAGGAGGATCAGGGGCGGCCTTCGCACGAGCTCCCCGCAGCACCGCCTCGCGGGAAGCATCGGGAAGCGCCAGCGACACACGCTGTCGGAGCTTCGCTCACTCACAGGCACTCCTCCCACACGTCAAGTGCAGCTCAAGAGCGTTATCGTCCCTGGCGGACGCAGGCAGCACCCCCAGAATAGGCCGCGGGACGGGAGATGAAGACCCTGGTGGAACAACCCCTCATGACTCCGCAGCTGCATGGAGGCTGACACTCTCTCTATATATATATATATATACACATACATACATATGTATATTTACCTACATATACATATATACACATATGTGTATATATGTGTGCGTGCATAGGTATATACACATATCTTATATGATTCCGTTAGTCTCGATATATATATATATATAATATGTCTACACATCTGTCGCCGCGACGTTGGTTGTCAACGCGTCGAAACGGACGAACCCGACACCACGGCAAACCCTGCGCCCGAAGCGGGGTTTGCCATGTTGGCCGCGGCGCCCTCCCCCAGGCGTGTGGCCGCGCGTCGGAACAAATGGCGCGTCGACATACAAACACACAGATCCGCCAGCGTGCCGCTGGGCACGGAATGGGCGTGCCCTTGAGTCCTTTGCCACATCCCCTGGGCATAAAACCTCGACCACAAGGGTTCCTAAAGGACCCGGACCCCAATTACCGGAGTGCTTCGCGTCGGATTAACGGAGGGCTGGTCTGCTAATCGGCCTCAAAGCATTAGCGCCGACATTGCTTGCTTCGCTCCCATTAGCGGAGCTCCGCTCTGCCAGTTGGGTTCGAACCACATGCTTCGCTCTGGTTAGCGGGCCGACGTTCCGCGAAATGGCTTCGAGCAGGGGGATTACGACTGTTTGATCACTAGCGGGGCGCCCCTCCGCTAGGCGGCCTCGAACCAACATGTAAAACTTTGCGTCGCTCCCATGAGCGGAGCAGCGCTCCGCCTCTCGGCCTCCGACCAAGGAGTTTCGACTCCTCCGACCTTATTCGCGGAGCGCCGTCCCGCCAACGTACCCCAAACAAAGGGGATCACGATTGCTTCGCTCCGATTAGCGGAGCGGCGCTCCGCTGCTTGGCCTCGAGCCAGGGGGGTACGAGTGCTTCGTTCCCGATCGCGGAGCGGCGCTCCGTTAAGTGGCCTCGGACCTATGGATTACGATTGCTTCGCCCCGATCAGCGAAGCGCCCTTCCGATAATTGGCCTCGGGCCGCAGGATTTAATCCTGCGGCTCGCATTATATTAGCGGAGCGCCACTCTGTCAATTGGCCTCAAGCCACGGGATCGGCAGATCGCCTCGTTCCCGTTAGCGGAACGCCGCTCCGCTACTTGCCCTCCAACTAGAAGATTGCGATTGCTTCGCTCCCATCAGCGGAGCGCTGCTCCGCTAGTTGGCATCAGACGAGGGATTGCTTCGCTCCTACTCGCGGTGCGCCACTCGGCGAAAAAAGCCCCGGCCGAACATATGACACTTGGCTCGTTCCCATTAGCGGAGCGCCGCTCCGCTATTTGGCACCCGAGCGAAGAATTACAATTGCGCTCCCCCATTCGCGGAGCGCTGCTCCAGTCATTGACATCTGCTCCAAGGTTGCAGTTCCAACTCTTGGGGAGTCTTTACAGGGCACGGGGCCCAAATTGCCAAACCTCTCGGGGCTTATCGCGGCTTGTCGGGGACTTCCCGCGGCTCGTCGCAAGAATTTCTCGGGCCCAAGAAGGCCCTGAGACCGGCCAAGAGGCCCCCAAGACGGTCCAAGAGGGCCCCAAACTGCCCCATAGGGGCCCCCTTGAGAGCGCTCTGAAGAGATCCCAAGAAGCATCCCTGCAAAACTCTGACCCGCAACTCAGGCACGGTGGCGGGATGGGCCGAAAGCCATTATAGATCCGCCGCCCCCTGTCGATTCATCGCAAGGGTGCCTGGCGTGTTAATCCCTCTCGGTTTTGGTTTTGGTTCTTTTTCCAAAAAGAACTCCCCCTGGGGCTCTGGCGCGTCCTGCCGGCCACCCGGAAAGGATCTCAAGGAGCTCAATCCGGAAAAACATCCTCCAAGATGGCTCGAGATGGCCTCCAAGATGGCCACGTTGGCGCCAAAATGGCCTTCAAGATGCCTCCAAGACAGCCAAGATGGCCTCAAAGACGGCTCAGATGGCTCCAAGATGCACCCAAGACGGCCCAAGATGGCCTCAAGATGGTCTACGACGGCTCAAAAGGCTCGCAAGAGGCCTCCCAGACGGCCCAAGAGGAGGTCCTCGAGGAAGGCCCCAAGAGGCCAAAATCATTGATTTTCCATTGATGTTTCAAGGATTTTGGTATTTGCGCCTTTTCGGCTTTCCGACGGCCCAAGACGGCCCAAGAGGCCCCCAAGGTCGCCCCAAGATCGCCCAAGAGGCCTCCAAGGTGGCCCCATGACGGCCCAAGAGGCCCCCAAGACGGCCCCAAGAGGCCCCCAAGACGGCCCAAGAGGCCTCCAAGACGCCCAAGATGGCCTCTAAGACGGCCCCGAAGCGCCCCAAGAGGGCCCCAAGTCGGCCCAGAGAGGCCCCCAAGACGGCTCCCGACGGCGTCAGACGTGCCAGGAACCCACCAATATGGCCGAAATTCGCTCGAAGCTGGCCCAAGACGGTCCAAGAGGCCTCCAAGAGGTTTCCAGGAAGGTTCGAAAAAGACCCAAATCATGTATTTCCCATTGGCTGTTGAAGTATTTTGACATTTGCTTCTTTTCGGCCTTCCGACGGCCCGAGACGGCCCAAGAGCCCCCAAAGATCGCCCAAAGATCGCCCAAGAGGCATCCAAGATGGCCCCACAACGGACCAAGAGGCCCCCAAGACGGCCCAGGAGGCCTTTAAGACGCCCAAGACGGCCTCCAAGACGGCCCTGGAGCATTCCAAGAGGGCCCCAAGTCGGCCCAGAGAGACCCCCCAAACCTTCCGACGGCGTCAGGCGGGCCAGGAGTCCACCAAGACGGCCGAAGATGGCCTTAAGATGGCCCAAGAGACCTCCAAGAGGGCCTCCAGGAAGGCCCGAAAAGGCCAAAATCATTGATTTCCCATGGTTTTTGAAGGATTGTGGCATTTGCTTTTTTTTCTGCCTTCCGACGGCCCGAGACGGCCCAAGTGCCCCCAAAGATCGCCCAAGACGGCCCCAAGAGGCCCCCAAGGCAGCCCAAGAGGCCTCCAAAACGCATAAGATGGCCTCCAAGACGGCCCAAGAGCCCTCCAACCTCCAAGGAGGCCCGACAGGGTCAATATGGCCTCCAGACGGCCAAGATGACCTGCAAGATGCCCATGTGTTCCCCGAAGGCTTTCCAAACCGATACGGTGAACACATGGTCCGATAGCTTGGCAGGTCCGGCCTCAACGTTCGGCCACATAGGCGCTTCCACAAAGGCAGGGAGCGGCGGTGATTCGCCGTAGGCGTCTTAGATCCGCCGCCCCCTTTTGATGTATCAAAGGGGTGCCTGGCGTGCCGGATGATATGGCTTCTGGTTTTGGTTCTTTTTCCAAAAGAACTCCCCCTGGGGCTTCGGCCCGTCCCGCCGGCCACCCGGAACGGCGCTCAAAACGCGTCCGTCGTGCCCCAAAACGGCCGTTTCGCTAGGGACATCTTAAACAAATCGCGAAGATGGCCCAAGATGGCCTCCAAGATGGTCCAAGATGGCCTCCAAAACCGCCCAAGATGGTCTAAGACGGCCTCCAAGACGGCCCAAGAGAGTCCACGACGGCCCAAGACCGCCCAAGAGGCCCCCCAGAAGCCTCCAAGACGGCCCAAGAGCCCTCCAAGAGGTCCTCCAGGAGGGCCCAAAGAGGCCAAAATCATTGATGTTCCCTCGGTTTTTGAAGAATTTTGGAATTTGCTTCTTCTCGGCATTCCGACAGCTCAAGACGGCCCAAGAGGCCCCAAAGATCGCCCAAGAGTCCTCAAGAGGGCCCCATGACGGCCCAAGAGCCCTCCAAGACGGCCCCAAGAGAGCCCCAAGACGGCCCAAGAGGCCTCCAACACGCCCAAGATGGCCTCCAAGACGCCCAAGATGGCCTCCAAGACGCCCAAGATGGCCTCTAAGACAGCCCAGAAGCGCCCCAAGAGGGCCCCAAGTCGGTCCAGAAAGGCCCCCAAGACGGCTTCCGACAGCGCCAGACGTGCCAGGAACCCACCAAGATTGCCGAAATTGGCTCGAAACTGGGCCAAGACGGCCCAAGAGGCTCCCAAGAGGGCCTCCAGGAAGGCCCGAAAGGGGCCAAATCATTGATTTTCCTAAGGTGTTTGACGGATTTTGACATTTGCTTCTTTCCGGCCTTCCGACGGCCCGAGGCGGCCCAAGATCCCCCGAAGATCGCCGAAAGATCGCCCAAGAGGTTTCCAAGATGGCCCCAGAACGGCCCAAGAGGGCCCCAAGAGGCCCCCAAGACGGCCCAGGAGGCCTTTAAGACGCCCAAGATGAGCCTCCAAGGCGGCCTTGAACAATCCAAGAGGGCCCCAGGTCGGCCCATAGAGGCCCCCCAAACGGCTTCCGACGGCGTCAGACGGACCAGGAGCTCACAAGACGGCCGAACATGGCCCTAAGATGGCCCAAGATGGCCCAAGAGACCGCCAAGAGGGCCTCCAGGAAGGCCCGAAAAGGCCAAAACAATTGATTTCCAATGGTTTTTGAAGGATTGTGGCATTTGCTTTTTTGTTCTGCCTTCCGACGGCCCGAGACGACCCAGGTGCCCCCAAAGATCGCCCAAGTGGCCCAAGACACGGCCCCAAGAGGCCCCCAAGGCGGCCCAAGAGGTCTCCCAAAAACGCCCAAGATGGCCTCCAAGACGGCCCAAGAGCCCTCCAAGACGTCCTCCAAGAAGGCCCGACAGGGTGCCACATAGGCGCTTCCAAAAAGGCAGGGGGCGGCGGTGACTCGCCGTAGGCGTCGTTGATCCGCCGCCCCCTTCTGATTTATCAAAAGGGTGCCTGGCGTGCCAGACTATATGGCTTCTGGTTTTGGTTCTTTTTCCAAAAGAACTCCCCCTGGGGCTTCGGCCCGTCCCGCTGCCACCCGGAACGGCGCTCAAAACGCGTCCGTCGTGCCTCTGTTTCCTCCAGTTGGCCCAAGATGGCGTCCAAGACGGCCAAGATGGCCCAGGATGGTCTCCAAGACGTCTCCAAGACGGCCCAAGATGGCCTCCAAGACGGCTAAGATGGCCCCAAGATGCCTCCAAGACGGCCTCAAGATGGTCTACGACGGCCCAACGGGCCCGCAAGAGGCCTCCAGGACGGCCCAAGAGCCCTCCAAGACGTCCTCCAGGAAGGCCCGAAAGGGCCAAAATCATTAATTGTCCTTAGGTTTTTGAAGGATTTTGGCATTTGCGCCTTTTCGGCTTTCCGACGGCCCAAGACGGCCCAAGAGGCCCCCAATATCACCCAAGAGGCACCCAAAAGGGCCCCATGACGGCCCAAGTGGCCTGAAAGACGGCCCCAAGCGGGCCCCAAGATGGCCCAAGAGGCCTCCAACACGCCCAAGATGGCCGCCAAGACGGCCCCGAAGCGCCCCAAGAGGGCCCCAAGTCGGTCCAGAAAGGCCCCCAAGACGGCTCCCGACGGCGTCAGACGTGCCAGGAACCCACCAAGATGGCCGAAGTTCGCTCGAAGCTGGCCCAAGACGGCCTAAGAGGCCCCCAAGAGGGCCTCCAGGAAGGCCAGAAGAGGCCCAAGACATTGATGTTCCTAAGGTGTTTGACGGATTTTGACATTTGCTTCTTTCTGGGCCTTCCGACGGCCCGAGACGTCCCAAGAGCCCCCGAAGATCGCCAAAAGATCGCCCGAGAGAGCCCCAAGACGGCCCCAAGAGGTCCCCAAGACTGCACAGGAGGCCTTTAAGACGCCCAAGATGGGCCTTCAAGACTGCCCTTAAGCATTCCAAGAGGGCCCCAAGTCGGCCCATAGAGGCCCCCCAAATGGCTTCCGACGGAGTCAGACGGACCAGGAGCCCACAAGACGGCCGAACATGGTTCTATGATGGCCCAAGACGGCCCAAGAGGCCTCCAAGAGGGCCTCCAGGATCGCCCGAACAGGCCAAAATCATTGATTTCCCATTGGTTTTTGAAGGATTGTGGCATTTGCTGTTGTTCTGCCTTCCGACGGCCCGAGACGGCCCAAGTGCCCCCAAAGATTGCCTAAGAGGCCCAAGACATGGCCCCAAGAGGCCCCCAAGGCGGCCCAAGAGGTCTCCAAGACGCTCAAGATGGCTTCCAAGACGGCCCAAGAGCCCTCCAAGACGTCCTCCAAGAAGGCCCGAAAGGGTCAAAATGGCCTCCAGACTGCCAAGATGACCTTCAAGATGCCCACGTGTTCCCCGAAGGCTTTCCAAACCGATTCGGGGAACACGTGGTCCGATAGCTAAGCAGGTCTGGCCTCAACGTTCGGCCACATAGGCGCTTCCACAAAGGCAGGGGGCGGCGGCGATTCGCCGTAGGCGTCTTCGATAAGTGTGTATATATACGATACGTATATGATACCGGAGAAAAGCCCCAATCATAATCTTTTGAGGGCTATAAGGCTATGAGGCTATAGGACTATAAGGCTCTGGGGCTACGGGGCCGTAGGGCTATAGGGCTATAAGGCTGTAGGGCTGTAGGGCTATAGGGCTATAGGGCTATAAGGCTGTAAGGCTGTAAGGCTATAGGGCCATGGGGCTATCGGGCTATTAGGGCTATAGGGCAATTAGGGCTATAGAGCTATAGGGCTATAGGGCTATTAGGGCTATAGGGCTATGAGGTCATAAGGCTGTAAGGCTTTATGTGAAACTATAGGGCTATAGGGCTACCGGGCACCCGGGCGTGCCGCCGAAATCGGCGCCACAGCTAACCTAACCATATGAATCCGCTAGGACCCTTACAGAGGCGAGCTCTGATGGGGATATACATATATATATATATGTGAAACCGGAGAAAAACCCAAACAGATTTTTGTTAGGGCTATAGGGCTATTGAGCTATAGGGGCTATACGGCTATCGGGCTATAGGGCTATAGGACTGTGACCTATAGGGCTATAGGGCTATAGGGCTATGGGGCTATAGAGCTATATGGGCTATGGGGCTATAGGGATATAAGGCTATTAGGGCTTTAGGGATATAAGGCTATAGGGCTACAGGGCTATAGGGATATACGGCTATAGGGCTATAGGGCTATAGGGCTACTGGGCTATTGGGCACACCCGGGCACCCGGGCACCCCCGGGCACCCGGGCACCCGGGCCCGGCCACCGAAATCGGCCACCCGGGCACCCCCGGGCACCCAGGCACCCGGCCCCGGCCACCGAAATCGGCCGCTCACCTCACCTCAGCTTTATATCCGCTAGGACCCCTACAGAAGCAAGCTCTGATTGGGGAATATATTCTGAGGGAGAGAGAGAGAGAGAGAGAGAGAGAGAGAGAGAGAAAAAAAAAAAGGGAAAGAGAAAGGGAGAGAGAGAGGAAAAACAGAGAGAGAGAGAGAGAGGAGTCAAGAGATAGAGAGAGAACTGTTTTCAACGAGCTAAAGTCACTCCCGTAATTAGGTGAAGGCGGGCAGCCTTCGGAACAGCTGTCGCTGCGCCCTCCTGCCCATGACGATTCTGCCACGGGCCGCGCACTGGCTGACTAAGGGCGTGCTTCGCAAGCAGTCGCGCTTGAGCATGCAACTGTGTGTTCTTGGATCGGCGCAGGCCGGGGGATGTTCTTAGGGTGGAGGGCTCAGGGTGAAATCCACGAAACGGCATTTCAGATTTCACCCTGTGCCCTCCACGCAAAGAAAATGCTCGGCAGGCCCCCAAGCCCTGCCCCCTGGGGCGCGGAGCGCGCCAGGGGCGGCGCCGGAGGCGCCGCCGCGGGGGCCCAGCGCCGATCCAGGAAATCCGCGCGGACCTCCGAAACTTTGCGGTTTCCTTCTGCGGCGACTTGTGGGGGCCTCCCACACCATCTTGCGGGCTCCAGCGAATCGGCGCTAATCGACGCTAGTCGACGCTGATCGACGCTAATTCGGCACTGATCATCGCTGAACCGGCGATGTCTCCCCGATTTCCAAACGCTAATCTGCAATACAACCGAAAGTATGATAGAGGAAACTACCAGTTCAGAAGTCTGGGCCAGCTTCCCGAAGGCTTCTTGAAACAAGCCTGGGCCACTTTCTGTTGTTCACGTTGGAGGGGCGAACGTGCTCAAGGAATTGGGCTGACTTTGCGGCAAGATGGTCGAGCGACGCTGGCCCCGCTTTTCGGGAGGAGGCTCCCTACTCAAATACTCGACGGTAGTCCACTCGTAAAGACGGAATCCCAGACATGCGACGTCCTGATTTTTTCAGGGCGGCGTCCCTGGAAATCCCGACCCTTTCCTCAGGACCGCCTTTTCGTCCCGAGTCGTTTTTTGACGGCCCCGGGGCCTGGCGAGGGCCCCCAGGGGCCGAAAACAGCGAAAAACTTGCCGTCCAGATTTTCTTCCGACGTGATCATTGTCTGGGGCTGCGAGGGCATTCGAAGCTCTCGCGACTTGCCGCCTAGCCTTCTGGAGTCGGGAGGAGGCTTCAAGATGCTCGTCTGTAGTGAGAAGAAGAACCATAAACATAAACTTGTGGCGCTCCGCGCGGATTTCTTGGATCTGCGCTGGGCCCCCTCTCTGGCGCGCAGAGCGCGCCAGGGGCGGCGCCGGAGGCGCCGCCAGGGGCGCCCAGCGCGGATCCAAGAAATCCGCGCGGAGCGCCAAAAGTTTATGACTATGGCGTTGTTCCTTCCTCGAGCAGTGTACTCTGAAGACGGAGTTGCGAGGGCATACGAGGCTCTCGTGACTTGCCACCGAGCCTTGTTCATCCTGCGCCGTTTATTGACGGCCCCGGCGTCCGGCGAGGGCCCCCCCAGGGCCGAAAGTATAACGAAACACTTGCCGTCCTGATTTTCTCACGACGCGATCGTGCCTGGGGCTGCAAGGGCATGCGCAGCTCTCGTGACTTGCCGCCGAGCCTTCCGGAGTCGGTTTTTCATCCTGAGTTGGCTTTTGCTTTTGACGCTCCTGGGATCCGGCGAGGGCCCCCAGGGGCCGAAAGTGGCGGAAAACCTCCCGTCGCATTTTTTGTTGAAGCGCAAAGATTTTTTATTCAAAACAACTAATTCAACAAATAATGAAAAGTCAGGGTAGCAGAAACCGACCCATTTCGTCTCAGATGGGTCGGCTTTCCTTCTGGAGGGCGACGAGGGAGCGAGGGAGAGGAGCAGGAGGTCGAGGCCGAGCGGGAAGCACAACGCGAAGAGGTCTGGGCACGGAGCTCTCGCGGCTCGCCACCGCGCCTTCCGGAGCCGGGGCAGCCGCACAGCGGCCGGCAGAGGCCGGCGGCGGCCCCCCGCACCGCGCCCAGGAACTCCAGGCACGGCCCGCAGCGCCCCCACCTGCCGCGCAGCGCGGCGCCCGTGACCTCGGAGGGGCGCGCCCAGACAGGCGACGTCCTCCTCCTGCTCCTCCTCCCTCCTCCTCCCTCCTCCCTCCTCCCTCTTCCCTCCTCCCTCCTCAGCCGTTCTGGCACAAGTTTTGTGCTTGTTGACGCGAACTTCAGAGCGGCACATTGCGTCAACGGGCCTTTGGCTCGGATCCTCTCAGTGATTGACTTCGGGGTGTATGACACCCCCGCCTACCCTGCGCAATGGTGGTGCTAAAGGCGGTGGGCGTGGCAAAGGACGTGGTCGAGAGGACTGGTCCAACGGCGCGCCCCCCCCGTGGCACTACAGCGCCTACATGTACACGGACAAGATTGCAGAAGGATTCTCCAAGTTCAAGTGCAGCTCCTGCGGCTGCGCCAAGAACCCGAAGGCGGCCCGCTACTGCAAGCATTGCGGGACTCCTCTTGCTGCAGTGCGTCCCGTTGAAGGTGGAGCCCCACAGAGCTGGGCGTGGTCTCAGGCCCCTCCTGGCGTCTTCTCACCGACGGCACCAAGGGCCATGCATTCTCGTCCTCCCCCTGGTCCCCCTGGCGGTTCTGGACAGCCCGCTGGTGCTGGACACGGAGGGGGGCAACCTGGAGGCTCAACTGCCAGGGCACCCCCGCTTCCAGTCGGAGCACAGAGCCAGCTCAACGCGACCGAGGCCAAACAGCTGGCTGAGCTCGCGCGCGAAGGAGGCGACCTCGCCACGGCATCCAAGTACGAGGCCGAGTTCAAGAAGCTGCATGCTCAGGAGTCGCCCACGCCTCCCACACCTCTCCACCAGCGCGTGCAGCAGCAGTTCGCAGCGGTGGCTCGTTTGGAGAAGGCTTTGGACAGGGAGGTGGACAAGCTCTTGGGATGGAAGAATGACGTCGCCAAGCTCGGGGACACGGTGCGCAGCATGCGTGAGGAGCTGGCCACAGCGGGCCAGCAGTGCAAGGCGTTGGTTGCGGACCTGCAGCAGCAGGCGGCCGTTGCTCCCGTTCCTGCGGCCCCAGCCCCTGCCGAGCTCAAGCTGGAAGACCTGTGCGCTGACACGTTCGACCTGGGCGCTTTCCTCACAGTGGACGAGGTTAGTTTCTTCGAGGGCGATGCCGAGCTTGAGGAGAAGGACCGCGAAGAGATCGCCAAGCGGAAGGAGGACCTCAACGCGGGCGTGTCCAAGCTCGCCAAAGACCTGCTGGGCCCCCTGGTGGCTGCCGCCAAAGCTGCCCGAGATGCACATCGGGAGCACCTGGCTCGAGTTGCCAGCAAGCGGCGGCGCGCTGACCAAGGGGCAGCTGCTGGGGGAGATGCTGGAGCTGATGAGCCGCGTGAGGCACCTGCTGCTGCCCCCGCCGCGGCTGCCCCCACATTTTGGTTCGGATGGTTTCGGGGCCCTCGGTCTCAGAACGCCTTCCCATCATGGGTCGCATCACGAGAGCGTCGACGGAGTGTGCAGCTCTCTCGACGCTCAGTGGCCTGAAGCCCGCAAGTTTTTCAACCTGTCGCAAGCTGTGGAGGCCACCCTTGCCAAGTCGGACAGTGCCTGTCCCCGTCAGGCCGCTGGCGGCCATCTCCTTGGGCATCGGCACGGCACCCCTGGATGTTTCGGCACCGAGGGCCAAGAAGCTTATACCAAGGCCGCCCCTGGCCTCGATGTAGAACGCTCTCAGGCGTCCAAGTTTGTTCCCTTCCACTCCCCTGAACCCAGTCCTGGAGATTCTAGTGTTGAGCTCGTCATCCAGACTGCCAACGTCACGTCTTGGCAATCCGACTCGGGAGGCGGTCTCAAAGCTTGGCTCCCTAAGTGTGGTGCGCACATTCTCTTGATCCAAGAGCACCCCTTGCTTGAAGCTGAGCTGGAGGAGGCTGCAGGCTGGGCCCATCGGCGCGGGTGGAAAGCTATCCTTGGGCCTGCCGCTCCAGGAGTTGGACATGGTACTTCGTCAGGGGTAGGGACCCTGGTTCAGAATTCTTTGGGGTGTCACGCACCTCCTGGAGGCCGCATCATCGACCGTCATCGTTCGATCGGAGCTGTCGTGCATATACCTGGCGGTGATCCCATCCTCGGTTGCAGCACCTACATGCGTACTGTTGAGGGGCTCTCGGAGGCCAACGTGGAGCTCCTGGCCTGCATCGGCACGGTTGTTGAGCAGGTAGGCTTACCCACCATCATCGGAGCTGATTTTAGCATGAGCCCCGACAAGATCGTTTCGTCAGGGATTGTCAACAAGTTGGGGGCGCAGGTGGTCGTCCACACAGACGTCGTGGGCACGTGTGGCGCTAGCATGCTCGATTATTTTATCGTCACCGCAGGGATTGCCAAAGGTATCTCTTCCGTCCGTGCCATTCACACGTCTAACCTAGTCACTCACCTCCCCGTGCAGATGCAGCTTCACGCAGGGATCGGGAGGCTCCACGGGCTCGTCTTTCGGAAGCCTCCGCCGTTGCCGACCGAGCCCGCGATCGGCCCTGTGCCTCCACCTCCAGATTGGACTTCTATTCAGTGCGAAGCTGATCGTGCCTTAGATGCTTGCCACAGTGGTGACGTGCACGCTGTACAGTGCCTGCTCGACGCCCTCTATAAGCACTGGGCCGACCTCTCGGAGAAGGAACTAGCGAGGGGCAGACAATCTACCCTGCCTTGTTGGGGGAGCAGGGGGAAGATGCCACAGCAGCACTGGGTTAACATCCTTGATCAAGATCGGGAGGCCCCCCACCGACAGCCCCATTTGTTTTCGATCAACTGGCTTGTGAGCAAGTTCAGGCTCCGTCTCCAACTTGATGCGGTTGCTACAGTATCCGCCCAGGCCCAGGAAGTTCGGAGGTTGTTGCTGAACCCTCCTGGCTTTTTGAAGCAGGGACTGGATGTCCACAGTGACCTTGTCATGCGGGTGCAGACTTTTTTAGCTCAGCATGATCTCCTCGACCTCGCCATTGGGGAATCCATTCTCTCCGACTTAGACGAGCACCTCGCGACCTTTGCCGTGAAGGCCAAATCGCAGGCACTCGCTGAGTGGAAGGAAAGGCTTCTTCAGTCCATCGACCAGAGCGCCGGGAGAGCTCACCGGCATGTTAGAGGCAGCCAGCCGTGGACCCCCACCACGACCCTCAGCAGAGAAGGAGCTGTCATCTCGGACCCCCTGGCGCTGCTGGCCTCGGAGGCCCGTAAGTTCAGTCAGTCATGGGGTGCTACCCCCGACCCCCCCTCGCAGGAGGCCAAGTTCCAATTCGTCGAACCCCTCCCTCGCCTCACTGCTGATACTCTGCGGTCGGCCTCCAGGCGGTATGCCGCCCGATCTGCCACTGCTGTTGACGGTTTCCACATGAAACATGTTGCCTCTCTCTCTGATGGGTCCTTGGATGTCCTGGGCACCATGTACTCCATCGTGGAAGCTTCTGGGCTGTTTCCTGGGCGAACCTCTCTGGTTGTGCTTCCCCTTCTCAAAAAAAAACCCTCTGGAGGGCATCGGCCCATCGGCCTTTTCTGCAGCCCCCACCGCCTCTGGGGGCGGCGCCGCAGGCCATGCGCGGCCCAGTGGGAAAGCACGTTTCAGCGCAGCTACTTCGCTGGGCCCCAGTTTTCTTCCGCTGTCGATGTTGTCTGGAGGCAGACTTTGCGAGCTGAAGGATCTGCGGCCAGCAACCAGTCCAGCTGCACGATTCTGCGGGACCTCTACAATTTTTTTTGAAATGGTGCACTTGGCCACGCTCCTTCAGCGTGGCCACCATTCTAAATTCCCCGTCCAGTTAGCTCGGCTTGCTGTGCAAGGATATCGACACGGCAGGTTTACTTCTCTCGGTGGCGTGGTCGTCGGCCCGTTCCATGTCACCAACGGCGTCGTCGCCGGCTGTGGTCTAGCGACCACCATGGTGCGTATCAATGTCATTCCTGCTCTCGACGCATTGCAGCTGCCACCAGGTATCACGCTCGACGTTTACATTGACGATTACGGTCTCAGCTGCAACGGGTCCAATGCCTACATTGTCGGGCACCTCCCTGAGGCCGCGGCCAACCTCAGGGAGGCCATCGGGGCCAATATGGGTGCGGTCATCTCCCCTGATAAAGCTTCCCTCGTTGCCTCGGCGGACGCGCTCGCCGCGCAAGTCAGGGACTGTCTCGGCGGCCTCGCGGGGCCTATCATCCAAGGGACCGTCAACTTGGGCATCGACTTTGCCCCAGGTCCCTCCCGTCGGCTTCCTGGTAGAAGGAAAAAGTTCTCTGACCGCAAGCGAGTTTTCAACAAAAAGGTTAGAGGGCTCAAGCGAGCCAAGCGGCCCCTTGGGTGGCATGCTGTCGAAGTTTTTACCGCGGGCACCCTCCCCAGCCTCGCGTTTGGGTCGGAGGTTCACGGGCCGTCGAATTTCGAATGGGACAGACTGCAGGTTGCCGCCGCCAGTACTATGCAGCCGTCTGCCAAGATGAGGTCGCGGACCTCTGTCCTGATTTTATCCCAGGACCCGACCGGGTACCCTGCCGTGGCGCCGATCGCGAGGTGCTCCAAGGAGATATGGGCCAACCAAACCAAGCCCTTTCCCTTTGTCATCCCGTGGGCTGAGCTGAGGGACGCCTGGAGGTGTTTTTGTTGTTTTAACATACCCCAGGTCCCAAAACCTGGCGCGGGGTTCAGGGGCCCCTGGGGGCCATGAAGCTGGCCTTGAGGGGAATTTCTTGGAGCATGCCCAACTACTGTACCCTCTTGGATGATTTTGGAACCGCGGTTTCGCTCACTGTGACGCCCCCAGCCCGTCTTTTGAAGCTTTTGAAGGCTGCAGTTCAGAGGACCCACGAGAGGGCCAGCGGTGCTGCACTGCTCTCGCATATTCCAGGAGCTCGAGTTGGCCATGATGTTGTGGCAGCTGCGTTGCGTTGCGCTCCAAGAAGGGCACGCCGCGCCAGCGAGGTTGTGCCAGGGCGGTTGCTTGCAATGCCACGTGGACTAGGACCAGAGCCGCCGAAGCAGGATATGCCGTTTGCTCGGTCTGCAGGCTGTGTGGGAGTGCGCCTGATACCATGCTTCATCGGCTTTGGTTCTGCCCAGCGTGTCATGATAAGAGGCAGGTGGTGTTTGACAGTTTCAAGCCAAAGTTTCCCCCCCTGCCTCCGCCTGACCTCACGCCCGAGAACAATGCGGAAGACCACTTGCTGCACACCCGTGGCCTGTTTCGGCAGTCAGGGGACGTTTTTCCGTTTCCTGCTCGTGATGATGTAGCAGACACTGGCCTCGAGATCATTTGGGCCAATGACCGTTCTTCGAAATCGCTCAGTATCTCTGGGCACATTTTCGTGGACGGCTCTTGTGTTGCGCACACTGTCAAAGAACTCTCCAGGGCTGGGTGGGGGATAGTGATGGTAGGTGACGACGGTAATGAAATCTGTCGCATAAGTTGCCCCCTGTGGGCCCCCAACCTCCAGACTGCCCAAGGGGGAGAGCTTGGGGCCCACGCTGTTGCTGCAATGCATGCTAAGCCAGGCAGCTCAATATACTCGGATTGTAAGAATGTGGTTGTACAAGTCAATGAGCCGCTGCTCAGGGCACTGTCCTGCCAGCGTGTGTATTCTGGGTTGTTACCCCCCACTCACCGCAAGCTTTTCGAAGGGGTTTTTAAGGTCAAGGCACATGTCGAATAATCCAGCGACCTTGCCGAGCTTGAGCGCTTCTGGAAGCAAGGCAACGACCTCGCTGATGTTGTTGCCAAAAGCTCGCTTGCCCGCCACCCGCAACCCGACCCCGAGGATGTGGAATGGCTTGAGCGATGCCTCTCGATCGCACAGTGTGTCATGCGTCTTTCGGCCGAGCCGATGCCAGAGTGGCCTCGGCTCAACCTGACAGGAGTCCCGCTTGTGCCCAAACCCCCCGGGCCTAAAATTGAACCGAGGCCCCACCAGTGGACTCGTGTCTCATCGCTTTGGTTGTGCATTGAATGTCCCAAGGTCGCCAAGGGCGTGCCGCGGAGGAACCCTGACTGTTCTCGGCCTGGAGGTCTGGACCCGCCTGCCCCTGGGAAGTGCCCTAGATATTCCAAGCTGACTTCCGCGGTTTTTTCAAGCCCTCAGGCACAACTGCATTGCTTTGCTTTGCTCCGCTGGTGCCGCCCTCACTATTTGCATGCGATGCTATGCCTATTCCTCCCACGGGCAGCCTCGCAATTTGCTTAGACTGTGTGATGGTCAACCACAGAGTGCGGGCGCCAAGTCCGCCTGGAGTTGTGGGGGCAGGCCGCCATCCCAAGCGCAAAGGTATTTCAGTTGAGGTCGGCCCCTGGTACGAAGACCTGGAGCATGAGGAGCTGCCGCGGCGCCTCAGCGACCAAGAACGGGAGTTGCGGACTGCTAAGCTGGTGCGGAGACTGGTCACCGCTGCAGTGGGGACACCAGTGCCAACAGATGTGGAGCTGGAGGTGGATCATCCCCCGCCAGTACCGCCACAGGGGCAGCAGCATGATAGAGTCGCCGACCATTTGTCTGAGTCGTCGTTTACCCTCGTTAAAACTGGTGGCCCCTCATCTCTCCCTCTTGGACCGCCCGATGCGGAAGAGGAAGCCGCCTGTTTTTTGTTTGGCATGCCTGATGAGAGTCCCTCCCAGCAGGCTGTGCAGCAGTTGTCCGAGCCAGCCTCTTCGGGTGCTGCGCTCGGCCGAGCCCGAGCCGCCCTCGCCCTCGAAGAGGACGAGGCCCCGCTCGTCGCCGTCGCTGCACCACAGTCTGATGACTCAGACTAGGAGGCGCAGCATGCGTTCCCCGCGTGTGGTGCGTCTCGCCCTGACCTCATTCTTCACTGGTCGCGGGCCTAGGGGGGCAGGCGGTGAGCCATAGGGGATCCTCCCTTCCTGCGGGAAATCGCCCCGTGGCTTTCGCGCCTGCCCTCCTCATTTCGTTTCACTGCTCGCTAGCCTGCTTCAGGCCAGATAGCAGGAGGCGACGCCCACTGGTCGTCGCCTGTGGTTGCCACGGTTGATGTCAAAAAAATCCCTCCTCCCTCCTCCCTCCTCCCTCCTCCCTTCTCCTTCCTCTTCCTCCCCCTCCTCTTCCTCCTCCTCCTCCTCCTCCTCCTCCTCCTCCTCCTCCTCCTCCTCATCCTCCTCATGCTGTTCCTGCTCCTGCTGCTGCCGCTGCTGCTGCTGCTGCTGCTCCTCCTCCTCCTCCTCCTCCTCCTCCTCCTCCTCCTCCTCGTCTTCTTTTTCTTCTTCGTCTTATTCTTATTATTAGTATTCTTCTCATTATTATTATTCTTCTTATTCTTCTTATTATTGGTAGTATTCTTCTTATTCTTCTTATTATTATCAGTATTATCATTATTATTATTATTGTTCTTCTCATTCTTAATATCATTATTATTATTATTCTTATTCCTCCTCCTCCTCCTCCTCCTCCTCCTCCTCTCTCCTCCCTCCCCTCTCCTCCTCCTCCCCCTTTTCCTTTTCCCTCCTCCTCCTCCTCCCCCCCCCCTCCTCGCCTCTCCCTCCCCTCCTCCTCCTCCTCCTCCTCCTCATCCTCCTCTCCTCCTCCTCCTCCTCTCCTCATCCTCCTCCTACTCCTCCCCCTCCCCCTCCCCCTCCCTATCCCCCTCCCCCCCCCCTCCCCCTCCCCCTCCCCCTCCTCCTCCTCCCCTCCTCCTCCTCCTCATCTCCTCCTCCTCCTCCTCCTCCTCCTCCTCCTCCTCCTCCTCATCCTCCTCCTCCTCCTCCTCCTCCTCCTCCTCCTCCTCCTCCTCTCCTCATCCCTCCTTCCCTTTTCCTCCTCCTCTCCTCCTCCCCTCTCCTCCTCTCCTCCTCCTCCCTCCTCCTCCATCTCTCCTCCTCATCCCTCCCTCCCTCCCTCCCTTCCCTCCCTCCCTCCCTCCCCTCCCCCTCCCTCCCTACTCCTCTCCTTCCTCCTCCTCCTCCTCCTCCTCCTCCTCCTCCTCCCCTCCTCCTCCCCTTTCCGTCCTCCCTCCCTCCTGCGCGCGCGCGGGTCTCCCGCGGCCGGCGCGCTGCAATTGGGAACCGGCCGGAGCGCTGCAATTGGGATCCGGCGCGTCCCCCCCACCCCAAGTGCGGCCCACCGCTCGGCGGCCCCGCCGGGGCCTACAGTTGGCTTCCCTGGGACCACGTAGGCGAGCGCCTCGCCTTCGTGACCGCCTGGCCTGTGGCCTCCTCCTCCTCCTCCTCCTCCTCCTCCTCCTCCTCCTCCACGCCGGCCGTGGCCAGGCCGACCCTTGGCCAGACGTGGCCAGGACGAGGATCGGCGGCGAGCGAGGGGGGGAAATGATAATAGAAATCGGAAAGACGCCGTAAACATAAACTTTTGGCGCTCCGCGCGGATTTCTTCGATCCTCGCCGGACCCCCCTCCCTGGCGCGCTCCGCGCGCCAGGGACGGCGCCGGAGGCGCCGCTGGGGGGACCCAGCGCGGATCCAAGAAATCCGCGCGGAGCGCCGAAAATTCATGTTTATTGCGTTTTCTTCTTCGAGAGAAGGAGGAGGAGGAGGACTGCTCAGAAGGCTCGGAAGTCTCCCGGCCTCCTGAAAAAACCTTCGAAGCCTTCCCCGAAAACACGAAACAAATTCTCAGACGGCCGCCGGGCTTCTGAGAAGCCCCGCCGCCCTCTGAGAAAGCCTGCTCCTTCTCACTCCCACCCCCCGTGGGCGCGCCGCCGAAATTGATTTGTGGGTCAAACCTCGGGTCTCCAGCGGCCGTTCGGGACGATCTGGACACCCCCGGAACGCCCTCGGCGAAGCGCAGCTGCTGGCAAGCATCCCAAGGCTGGAAAACCGCCGAGAAACGCGTAAGATAACGCCGAGTTTTCAATACGCCGCCGAGTTCTCAATACGCGTAAAATGACGAACGAGCAACACACCCCCGTACCCATAAGTAGGGAAGTTTGCCCGGCCGTCTGGGCCCGCCCGCCCGACCCGCCCGCTATGGTCCGCCCGCCCGACCCGCCCGTCTGGTTCTGCCGCTTGATTTCCTGCTCCTGACCCCCCTCCGGGTAATCTCTCTCGCGCTCCATCCATCCCCTTCCCCCTTCTTGTCCCTTCCCTGCGCTCTCCCCTCCTATGTTTTAGGTCCTCTGCCGGTTGCACGTGGCACATAAGGAAGATGTATGCCAAAAGGGGTGCACGGCCGAAGACGAAGAGGGCAGGTATAGAGGGTTCGGGATATACATGTTGGATCGCACGCGGGCAGATAAGAACGACCAATCTGAAAATGAGTGTTGTGGTTGTCGTCGTGCTCGCCCGCGGCACACCCGCGAACCGCCCGCGACCCGCACTGCTCTGACGAGACTTCGGCGCCCATCGGCGCCCGAGACGGGCTTCTTCCGAGCCTCGCAGACTGCCGACGACCTCGCCGCCTCCTCAGTCTCATCTGCAACTGCGGGGGCTATGGTATACTTGTTGGGGCGGAGTTCCTTCTTGATCTTCGAGACCTGCCACCGCGCAAACGATCTTTTCCTCCTCGCCGTCCTGTCACTCCTCGTCCTCCTCTTCGTCATCCTTCTCGTCCTCGCCATTCTCCTCGACATCCTCCTCGCCCTCGTCATTCTCCTCGTCCTCCTCTTCGTCCACTTCCTCCTCCTCGTCCTCGTCCTGGGCGTGATCAGGCGGATCCAACAGAAACTTGTTCCACTGCATGCCTCTGTGCGGTCCTGACCGAGGAAACGCGCCTGGGCCGGGCATCGTTTCCTGACGGGCCGGCGGGGATAGGTGAAGCGTGAAGCATGCATAACACATGTAATGTTTGGAGCTCCGCACGGAACGTTGAGAGAATATCTGTGCCCGTCTCTTCTCCTTCGATCCTCTTCTTCGAGACCTGCCACCGCGCAAACGACCCCTTCCTCCTCGCCGTCCTGATCCTTCTCCTCGTCCTCCTCCTCGTCCTCCTCCTCACCCTCGCCACTCTCCTCGACACCCCTCTCGCCCTCGTCCTCCTCTCCTCGTCCTCCTCTCCTCGTCCCCCCCTCCCTCGCCCTCGACCTGCCACCGCGCGAACGACCACGCGAGCGCGTGGAAGGGAACGAGCAGGCCCACCGCGGCGAAGCGCACCAGCGCCCCGCCGCCGCCCAGCGGCCACTCGCCCCGCGCCAGCTCGGGCGGGTCCCCGCAGGCGGCGCAGAGGCTCACGGCGAACATGACCATGTGCAGCAGGCAGATGCTCGGAGGAAGGGCCAGGCGGGGCGGCGGCGGCCCCGCCTGCGCGCTTCTGCTCCCGCCCTCGCCGAGCGAGCAGCACGCAGCCCCTTGCAGTGTGGGCACCCTATGCCTCCAGGGCACCCTGCCTGCCTCCAGGGCGCCCTGGATTTTGCTTGGACGTCGACGATTCTGCCAATGAGCACGTGGCGCTCCCGTGCCAGAAAAGAATGTTATTAGGCCCTGGGGTTCAAGGGTTGCGTTCTTGTGGAAGGTTTCTTGCGGTCGAGCTCCTGCTGTACCCACAGGCCCATATAAACGGTTCGGAAAGAGGAGGGCTGGCTACAGTAGGACCCAGGCCGGAAGAACATCACTTAAGAGCATGAGGCCCTTCGCGGCCCAAAACAAACAAGAATATCCGAGGGTACCCTCACCAGGATGCACAGGAGCATCCAGCAAGCCCGAAGACCACCAGGGTACCCTCCCCGAACCGACCTCGACCCGATACCTCGGTCCGACTGTGCAGTCTGGGTTGATTGGGGAGGACACGCGAGAGGACACAAGATCCTCCCAAGAGCAACATTGTCATAGGAATGTAAGAAGGCATAGGTCGCACAGCTCAGGACACAAGGGCACCCTTGATTTGGCAGGGTCGACCTCCTAATCCATCTCGACTGTAGGGGTATGGATGCGGGCTGTCGGACCCCGGGGGAGGCTACCGTTCATTGCACCGGCCTTGCAGACGTGCTGCAGCGGATTTTCGCGTGGATTTCTGTCAACGCAAAGCCCCGAAATTGCGAACGAAAAACGAAGTGAATTTCACGTGGAATATTTTGTAGCATGAATTCCTGAACCCAAAAATCCGCGCGAAATTCACCCCGAAATCCGGAACGACATTCTCCATGACACCCCGGGCCCATCCCATTGTTTTCCGAACGAGATCCGCTCTGCGATGTTGGCGCCATGATGCCGTTCGAGCGGGGAGCCCCATCCGACATCACTAGGCGGCGCGCCTGGGGGGAGAATGAGAAGGGGCGGGGGCGGGCCTTCTCAGAAGGCTCGGAACGTGGAAATCGTCGTTCCCCAGGTCAGCGCAAGCCGGGGTCGGCTGACGCAGACATTCTGAAGATTCTACGCTCTTCCCGTGGACTCAACGAGGAAGCCAATTAGGGGGCAAATCAATTATGTAGTCGATCCCCTGCAGTAGGAGCTCGACCACAAGAAACCCTCCACAAGAAACCCAGCCCTGAGATCCCAGGACGTCCATTGATTTCTGGTGTGGGAACGTCACGCTTTCCACAGCAAAGCCATCGAAACCCAAGAAACCCAGGGCACCCTGGAGCCAAGCACGGTGTCTCTTGGCATGGGTTTCCACTGTAGGCTCTGGCTGGCGCACCCCCTCTTTCCTGGGGGCTGGACACCGCTGTGCGGGGCACCGTTCCTGGGTTGGGGGGTTGCGCCGGCTTCCGATCACAGTGCGCGAGCGGACGTGTCCGCAGCGGCAGGGAGGGAGGAAAACAGGGAGGGAGACAGGGAGGGAGGAGGAGGAGGAGGAGGAGGAGGAGGAGGAGGAGGAGGAGGAGGAGGAGGGGGAGGAGGAGGAGGAGGAGGAGGAGGAGGAGGAGGAGGGGAGGAGGAGGAGGAGGAGGAGGAGGAATTGCTTCTTGGCATGGGCTTCCACTGCACTCGACGCTCGATCGCCCCGATCTCGGGGTGTCCCTGGTAGAAGAGCCGCCGCTCGCCGCAGGCCCTGGCCCTCCTCCGAGGGATGCGGTGCGTCGCGGCGAAGACGCCCCAGAGCGAGTGGAGCTCGTTGTGAGTCTTCGCCGCCCGCGCCTGGGCGGGGGGTCCCGTGGATCCTCCTCGTGGCGTTGGCCACAGAGCAGCCTCTTGGCTGTCGCGCTCTTGTCGATCCAACACCTCCTCCTCCTCTTCCTCCTCCGCCTTCTCGTTGTTCCTCCTCCTCCTCCTCCTCCTCCTCCTCCTCCTCCACTCGTTCTCCTCCTCCTTCCTCCTCCGTCCCTTCCCTCCCTCCGGACTTGCGGCCGTCCTTACTCGGCGAAGTGTGCCCGAGGCCACACAAACACCCACCTGCACCAGTGTCACTCGGGCCCGTCCGCTTGGGTACTTTCGCGTCCATGCCCTTCGAATGGATGCAATCCAAGCTGGCGCAAGGGATGATGCTGCTGCTGATGATGATGATGCTGATGGTGGCGATGATGGTGATGATGCTGATGATGATACTGATGGTGATGATGATCGTGATGATGATGATGATGATGATGATGATGATGATGATGATGATGATGATGATGGTTCTGCTGCTGATGATGATGGTGATACGCTGATAATGATGGTGATGGCGGTGATGGTGATGACGGCGATGGTGATGGTGATTATGATAATGCTGCTGCTGCTGCTGCTGATGATGATGATGATGGTTGTGGTGGTGGTGGTGGTGGTGGTGATGGTAGTGATGATGGTGATGATGAGATGATGATGCTGACGCTGATGCTGATGATAATGATGATGATGATGATGATGATGATGATGATGATGATGATGATGATGATGCTGGTGATGATGCTGATTATGACGATGATGATGATGCTGCTGATGATGATGATGATGATGATGATGATGATGATGATGATGATGATGATGATGATGATGATAATGATGATCAATGGTGATGATGGTGGTGGTGGTGGTGATGATGATGATGAGGAGGAGGAGGAGGAGGAGGGGGAGGAGGAGGAGGAGGAGGAGGAGGAGAGGGAGGGAGGAGGAGGAGCAGGAGCAGAGGAGGAGGAGGAACAGGAGCAGGAGGAGGAGGAGAAGGGCCCGCCCGCGCCTGGAGGGATGTCTCCCAGTCGACCGCGGCGAGGCGGCGGAAGCGCTGGCCATGCGCGTGCTCGAAGAGCCTCGGCGGCGCGCGCGGGGGGCTGGCGCGAGGGGGTTGGCCCTCCAACAGGGCATACGCAGTGGAGGCCAGTCCAGAAGAAGAAGAAACCTTCTGCTCCTCCTCCTCCTCCTCCTCCTCCTCCTCCTCCTCCCCCTCCTCCCTCCTCCTCCTCCTCCTCCTCCTCCTCCTCCTCCCTCCTCCTCCTCCTCCTCCTCCTCCTCCTTCCTCCTCCCTCCTCCTCCTCCTCCTCCTCCTCCTCCCCTCCTCCTCCTCCTCCTCCTCCTTGTCTGGTCGAGGGTCGGGATCGTCGCGCCTCCGGAGAGGAGAGGAGGATCGACGATCCGTGATGGGGTTGGCCCCCCAAGAGGCCTCCCCTCCCAACTCCTCCCCTCCTCCTCCTCTCCTCCTCCTCCTCTCCTCCCCCTCCTCCTCCTCCTCCTCCTCCTCCTCCTCCTCCTCCTCCTCCTCCTCCACCCTCCTCCACCCTCCTCCTCCTCCTCCTCCTTCTCCTCCTTCTCCTCCTCCTCCTCTCCTCCTCCTCCTCCTCCCCTCCTCCTCCTCCCTCCTCCTCCTCCTCCTCCTCCTCCTCCTCCTCCTCCTCCTCCTCCTCCTCCTTCTCCTCCTCCTCCTTCCCCGAGCTTATGGTAATTACCATCGTGACTGCAGGGAAGGGCCACCACGTCTTCCACCTCCGGAGGCAAGGCTGGCGCGGACCGCCATGGGCGAGTGTGGCACTGGGCACCGAGTGGAGAAGTTACAGTGGAGGCCAGTCCAGAAACCTTTTGCAAGAAACCCCATCCCTGAGACCCCAGGACGTCCATCGATTTTTGGTACAGGAACGTCACGCCCTCCACGGCAAAACCATCGAACCCCAAGAAACCCAGGGCACCCTGGAGGCAAGCAGGGTGTTTCTTGGCATCGGCCTCCGCTGTAGAAGACCATTTTTGATTCTATCGAATCAATTCAAGCATTGTCTCTGAGACCATTCAAGAACACCTGGCGAACTCACTCAAAAGCCGTCTTCGAATCCGATCAGAAGACGTGCCATGTAACGGGGGGTGATCTTCAAGACCCCCCCGTTCAACTGCTCGAGAAGCGTGCAAATCCTTCCCATGCCGTCGGAGGCGCAGAAGGCGTGGGGCCTTCTCGGAAGGCCCCGGGCCAGAAGCCGCGCCGGCCTCCGAGGACGCCCCCGCCTCCTTATAGAACGCCCCCCGCCTTCTCAGAGGGCCTCACCCCCCGCGCCAACCCCTTGCGTGGGCCGCCGGGAGCCGGTTGCCGTCCTGCATCAGCAGCCCCTCCGCGAGCCTCGCCGGGTCGCTGAAGAGTTCGTTCCAGTCGTCGTAGTTGGCGGCGTTCCCTGGCAGGTAGGCGTCGAAGCCCTCGCGCAGCTTCTTCACGTCCTTCGAGCTGCTGGAGTTGACGTCCACCTCTCGGCGGCGAGCCCAGGGGGGGAAGCGAGAGGGGTCAGGCCCTCTCAGAAGGCGGCGGGGCCTCTCGGAAGCCCTCGCGCCTTCTGAGAGGCCTGGCCAGCCTGCGGAGAAGGAGGAGGAGGAGGAGGAGGAGGAGGAGGAGGAAAGGACGAGGAGGAGGAGGAAAGGAGGAGGAAGAGGAGGAGGAGGAGGAAGAGGAGGAGGAGGAGGAGGAGGAGGAGGAGGAGGAGGGGGCTCAGAAGTCTCGCCGTCGGACCTTGTCGTACCACTCGTCGAAAATCGCGTTGTACATCGGTCGCACGACCTTCGCGAGGAAGAGGCCGCTGTCCCCGGACGGGCGCTCCTGCGGCGGGCCAAGCCCCTCCCCTCCGGAAGCACACGCGCAGAAGTGCACACGCGTGTCTGGCCATCGCTCGGACGTCCATTCCCTGTGTTTGTTTGGTTTCGTGCGTGGTCTTTTCGCCAAATGATCAAGGATGCTCCTCGATGGTCCTCGCCGAGAAAAAAATACACACGTCCGAGCGATGCCAGGGTGTGGCACTCCTGCAACGAGATGAACAGACAATTGTCAAAAGCATCGACTTCTGGAGTTCCGCGCGGATTTTTTTGGGTCGGCGCGGGGGTCCCCCGGCGGCGCCCTCCCTGGCGCGCGCCGCGCGCCGGGGAGGGGGTTCCAGCGCCGACGCAAGTAACCCGCGCGGACCTTCGAGCATTCATGCTTGAAGGGGCCCCAGGACACACAAATAAATACACACGAATAACAATATTCCCCATATTTTTCCATATCTTCTGGGTTTCTGTCTTCCCCCCCCCCACTTCCCATATTTTCCCATATTTCCTGGGAATCGAGGATTCATTGTGTCTGTGTGGTTTTTCCCCTCCTGAGAACATTCATGCTTCTATCATTGCTTGCTCCCCGATCCGGCGAGGTGACCGCACCGTCGTGAAAGACAGCAAGAGGCGCCAACCTTCGCACGAGCTGCTGCCACCAAGCGCTGCAGGTGGGGGGGGCCACAGCGGAGACAGCAGGCCCGCGTGCAGGAGCTCCTTAGGCCGACGTCTACCTCCCCATCCATGACTACCTACCAGACCACCCCAACCCAACCCGAAGACCCGAATTTCGGGTTGGGGGGGTATGGGCTCCATATGTGTTTTTTCGATGTTCCCGCACCCCCCCCACTAGAAATCGAGGGTAAATCTGACCCTTCGGGTTGGGATGGGGTGGGTTGGTGGGTGGTGAATCCAGCGCTGCACCGTCCAAATGTCACTCGGATGGCTTGCCGCGGGCCCAATCAAAACCTACCGATGCTTCGGCGCAGCGCAAATCTCAGACACCTCGAGACGAGCTGGAGCCAGAAAGGGGCGCAGAGGTAGGGGTGCGGAACGGCTGGATGAAACACCCAGCCGCACGGCCCCACCCTCGAGCACCCCCTCCTGAGGAGATGGCACGCCGAGGGCAGCCGTAACGTAGCCCTCTGAGTTTCTAGTTCCGCCGGCCTCCGTCGGCGGAGGCGGCCTTATTTTGCTTCCGCTAAAGGAGAGGAAGAGGACTAAAATTTGTATCCGATGCCCTGTAAGTTTGTTTTACTTCCGCTAAAGGTCTTTGTATGTCTTTGTGTCCGATGCCCTAGCGTCGATGGGACCCGCAGGGGTAGGATTCACAAGTGGTCGCAGAGCCCTCCCTCAGCCTCTCTCTCTCTCTCTATTTCTCTCTCCTCCTCCTCCTCCTGCTCCTCCTCCCCTCCTCCTCCTCCTCCTCCTCCTCCTCCTCCTCCTCCTCCTCCTCCTCCCTCCTCCTCCTCCTCCTCCTCCTCCTCCTCCTCCTCCTCCTCCTCCTCCTCTTCCTCCTCCTCCTCCTCCCGCCGAGGAAGAGATGCAACCCCCTCGACCCTCTAGGGCGAGGCCCTTCCTGGAACGCCGCGCACAGACAGTCACCGGACGGCTCGCCCCTTTGGCCCCCCGCCAGCCCCACGCCAAGGGGGCGAGCAGAGATTCGGGCGCAGCGCCGCGCTGGATGCGTAACCGGCGGCAGGGCCAACCGAGCGAATGACGCATCGCGTGGCGGCTGGATGACCGCGCGGAGCACAGCTCGTCTCGGTTCCTCCCTCCTCCTCCTCCTCCTCCTCCTCCTCCTCCTCCCCCGCGGGCTCAAAACTGCCACCGAAAAATCCTCACCCGCTGGCTTAAAACTGCCACCGCAATATCCTCCCCCGCGGGCTCAAAGCTGCCACCGAAATATCCTCACCCGCTGGCTTAGAACTGCCACCGAAATATCCTCACCCGCTGGCTTAGAACAATCACCGAAATATCCTTTCCCCCTGGCTTACAACTGCCTTCGAACTATCCTCACCCGCTGGCTTGAAACTGCCTTCGAACTATCCTCGCCCACTGGCTTAAAGCTGCCACCGAAATATCCTCACCCGCTGGCTTAGAACTGCCACCGAACTATCCTCACCCGCTGCCTTAGAATTGCCACCGAAATATCCTCACCCGCTGGCTTAAAACTGCCACCGAAATATCCTCACCCGCTGCCTGAAAACTGTCACCGAAATATCCACACCCGCGGAAATAAAACTGCCATCTAACGGCCTGGTGGTTCAGTTCAGTCTGTCTACCTCGCGGGAATCAAATTACGGGCTGCGCCCGTAAAACACACACTTTAAAGTCAGTGGCGCAGAGGGTCCTCAGGCGCGAGCAGCAAATGGAAGTGCGAATTGCGAAGGAGCGTTATCGAAGGCGCAGCGTACGAGCGTCGCACAATGCAACATGCAAGCGATGGGTGGGTTAGAGGAACTGTAAATCCAGACGAAGTATGCAGCGGCCAGAAAACGAGGAGAGCACTCAACTCAAAGTGAACTGAAGCGCGGCAGTCCGGGGCTCATTGCGGCCACGGAACCACCAGAGCGGTGTCAGGCGGTGAATCGCAAATCGTATACGCGGCTATGGGCAGATCTGTGATATGGCACACACGCGCATACACGTTTTTTGCCCTGCTCCCTCGCATCGGCATCAAACCAAACTTCCGGAGGTCCGCGCAGGAGGAAGAGGAGGAGGAGGAGGAGGAGGAGGAGGAGGAGGACTGAGATCGAAACCAGCCCTCCGCCGGAGCGCGCCGGCGGCGGCGCTGGAGGCGCCCTTGGGAGGCCCGGCGCCGATCGAAGAACTCCGCGCGGACCTCGGGGCATTCAGCCTTTTGCTTCCTCGGCACCAAGCGAAGACCATTCTCCCCTCGTCAGGGCGCAGGCTCCAGAAAAGGCAAGCCATTTCCTCTGGTCAGGGTCTCGCCATCGCTCTGACGCCCATTCCCCGTGCATGTTTCGATTTCGTGCGTGCCTTTGTGTCGCAGGATGGTCCGAGATGCTCCTCGATGGTACGCGCCGCGGGAAAGCCGCGAGCGATACCAAGAGGTGTGGCCGGTTATGGCCATGGTGCTGATGCTTGTTGCTCAGCATGCTTTGGCAGAGGCAGCTGGCCTGGGTCCAAGCCTGCTCCTGAGGATGAGCCCGAAGAGGAGGAGGAGGAGGAAGAGGAGGAGGAGGAGGGGAAGGAGGAGGAGGAGCGGGTGGATGGGGAGGAGGAGGAGGAGGAGGAGGAGGAGGAGGAAGAAGCCTGCTCCTGATGATGAGCCCGAGTCTGAGCACACGCCCGTGTGTACCCACATGTCTGCTCACACTTGGCGGCGCGCACAAAGGGGCAGGGGCGGGGGGGAGGCTTCTTAGCAGGAGGCTGCTTCTTAGCAGGCGCGGGCCTTCCACCTACAGACAAGGCCCGCACCTTCTAAGAAGCAGGGGTGCCTCTAAGAAGAGTTCCCCCCTCCACATACCCCCCTCTGCGCGTGGCTGACATACGGTGAGGGGAGGCCGAAACAACGCGGGACCAACGATCTGATATATGGAAGGACCCCAAACATCTGCCAACACACACACACACAAACGCCCACGCACACACCCACGCACACACCCACGCACACGCACACGCACACACCCACACGCACACGCACACTCACACGCACACGCACACGCACACGCACACGCACCCGCACTCGCACCCGCACCCGCACGCGCACACGCACACGCACACGCACTCACAAACGCCCACGCACACGCACAGACACACAGACACACAGACACACAGACACACAGGCACACAGGCACACAGGCACACAGACACACCCACCCCCACACACACACACACACACACACACACACACACAACATACAACATACACGCACGCACGCACGCCGCACGCACGCACGCATGCACGCCACGCACGCACGCACACACACCATACACCCACACACACCCACACACCCACACACCCACCACACACCCACACGACCGCACACACGCACATACCCCCACACACCCTCACACAACCACGCACACATCCACACACATACACACACGCACACACCCACGCACACACCCCAACACACCCGAGCACACACCCACGCACGCACCCACGCACAACACCAAGACACACACACACACGCGCACACACACACACACACGCACACACCACACACACACACACATACACACACGCACGACACCCAGTGCACACACACACACACACACAAACTACACACACGACACACCCACGCACACACCCACGCACACACCACCGCAAAACAACCACGCACACAACCCACACACACCCCCACACACATCCACACACACCCACACACACACACACACGCGCACACACCCACGCACACCCACGCATACCCACGCACACACACACACCACACCCACACCCAGCCCCCCCACACAACACACACACACACACACAGACACACACACACACACAGCACGCACGCACGCACGCACGCACGCACGCACGCACGCACGCACGCACGCACGACACGCACGCACGCACGCACGCGCACCCACGCACAGACACAACACACACACACACACCACACGACACGCACACGCACGCACGCACGCACGCACGCACACCCACAACACACCCACACACACACACACACCAAACACACACACACACACACACACACACACACACACACAAACACACAACCACCCACGCAGACGCCAACACACACACACACATACCACCCACACACACACACTCACACACACACCCATTCACAGCTTACACCCACACACACCCGCACACACACATTCACACACACACACACACACTCACACACACCCATTCACACCACACACCCACACACACACACACCCATTCACACCACACACCCACACACACCCACACACACACACCCACACACACACACACACACATCCACACACACACACACCCACACACCCACACCCCCACACCCCCACAAGCACAAGCATAAGCACAAACAACACCACACGCACACACACACACACACATACACACACACGCCCGGGGTTGGATCGAGCAACAGCGAAAGCACCCACTTGCAGGAGCAGACGCAGCCTCGAGGGAACAAGCAACGAGCCTCCAAAGGGGGAAGTCCGTCAGCTCCGCGAAGGCACACCCCGCGTCGATCGGAGGGAACTATACGGTCAGGAACGTTTGCCTGGCGTGTCGCGGCGGCGGTCCCAGCGACACGCTATGCCCTGCAAGCGGACGGACGGACGGACGGACGCCACTTCGGCAGAGCTGTCCCGTCGCAGGGGATGGGCGCGCAGCGTACGAAGCGCTCTCAGTGTGGCATGTGCACGACACCATGCTCGAGAGCATGCCGTTCTCCTTTGGTAAGCAATTGCTGCCACTTCTCTGCTTTCGCATCCATACCGGCTACACGCAAGAGTGACCCTCGGTAAGGGTGACCTTTGGTGCGCGACTTTTTGGGGGCCGCGGGGGGGGGCCAACCCTGGGCGCGCAAGCAGCTGCGACTGCTTCGTTTTCAGCCATCTGGGGACCCACCTGTGCCCGCACCAAAGGTCACTCCGGCGAAAGGTCACTCTTACGTCTAGCCGACCACACCTGGACTTGGTAGCTGCCGGCATACGTCACAGCGTGAGAGCTCGGGACGCTGACGGTGGGGTCGGGGACTGGGACGTGGTCGGCGCGTCGCGCCGGCGCGCGGTGGGCCAGAGCGGGCTGCGCGACACGCCATACAGTGAAAACGCATAGTCAGGACGCGTGGTAAGGACGCAAGACCCTTGGAGGCCGAAGTTGAAGTATTCTGGGCGGCAGGCGGCCAAATCCCCCCAGGGAACCTGAGAAACTGGCCTGCGAAAATTGCTAGGGACGGGCCGCAGAGGCTGAGGCAGGCAAGGACCCAAGGGTGCCCTTGAAAAAGTCGTCTGTCCTTACTATGCGCGTTGACTGTGAGCTACCTCTCCCGACCGTACGCGGCCTTGCGGGAAAAGGTGAAGGGGCCCAGGGACACACAAACGGATACACACACGCACGAATCCCAGGATTTCCCCCATACTTGCTCATGTGCTCCTTGACCTTGCTCATTTTCTGCCTTGACGTTCGTCTTCCCCCCCTCTTCCCATCTGTTCCCATATTTTCCGGGGAGTCGACGATGATTTGCGCCTGTGCGTTGTGTCCTCTCCTGACAAGAACTCGGCGCCGCGGCGTCGCGCTCAGGGGGGAGGGCAGGGGGGCGGGCCTCCCAGACAGCCCCGCGGGCCTCCAGCCTCGAGAGAGTAGACAAGCGCGTGCCACCACTGGCAAAGTAGCTGCTCGCAAATGGCCCGGATCCGCCGCGGGAGACCTGCGATCCATGGCATCGCTGAGGACCTGCCTTCTCGGACGTCTGCGAGCAGGCACTTCGCGAGTACAGTCGGGGCGTTGACCTAAGGAACCCTAAATAAGGAACGAGTCCCCTATTTTCCATAAGTTAACCTTCGATTTCCGATCGAAAACCTAAGGACAACCTGAGGCAAACTTTGAAACAATCAAGGAACACCGAGCCCCTCCCCAACGAAAAGGGTTCCTTCTTCAAGACCCCGACTGTAGGTAGGCACTTTACGAGTAGTGGAACGCGCTCGGTGAGAGAAGCTGCCTGAGCCTCCTCCGAGACCGCAGGCAGCTTCTCAGCAGGCCGGGGGTGCCTCTCATAAAGAAGCCCTGCCGCCTTCTGAGAAAGCCCGCCCCTGAGATCCTACGTTGCATAGAAATCGCAACATCCCAGAACGTTGTGACTGGGCCCCTGGACCCCATCCCCATGCGTCATTTCTCGAGCCGGATCGATCTGTGAGGGTCCCAAGGCCCGACGTTCGACATTAGGGGAACAAAAAAGCAACATAAACATAAAAGCTCGGAGGTCCGCGCGGATTTCTCGGATCGGCGCTGGGGCCCCCCGGCGGCGCCTCCGGCGCCGCCCCTGGCGCGCTCCGCGCGCCAGGGATGGTGGTCCACGCCGATCCCGAGAAATCCGCGCGGACTCGTAGTTGTTCTGTTACAGGCAGTGTTTCTTGTCGTGTCGACCCTGGCGTTGGTTCCTGACACCGTGCTGGATCGTTCAACCTTGAACGATCGGCCGTCTCCGCAACGTCCGATCGTTCAACATCGACCGATTCTGGGCCGCCGGCGGCGTTCAACCTTGAACGTCGGCGGCGGGGTCGCCGCCGGTCGACACGACGCGAACCTACCGTATGCCACTTTTTGCTCCCCTAGACAGAGACCGAAACCGCCCGGCTCAAAAGAAATGGGTCGCCCGGATCTCAGGGGCCCCCGGTCGCTTCGCCCCTCGGCGCGCCGCCGCGAAGAGCAACCCTTGAGTCGGGCGTGTCCCCCTACAGTGGGATCTTCGACGAAAAATAAAACAAATACTCCAAACATATTCCGAAAAGCTCCACAGATACAAAAAAAGATAGTCCCCAGACCATGTGTTGCCCAGTTTTGATGATGCCCCCCCCGTGGGAGGACAAGCCCGACTTCAGGCAACCTCCGAAGCCGCGGCAGCCAGGAGAAGCCGGGGCAGCAGGGCGGCCCGGCTCCTCGGGCAGCTGGTAGAGCTCCCTCAGGTCGCCGGGCTCCGACGAGAGCACGAGGTCCGTGCTGAAGTAGAGCACCTCCCGGGCGGGCAGTAGTGGGGCGGGCAGTAGTGGAGGGGGTGACCCCACGGGGGGGGGGGGGGGGGGGGGAGAAAAGTGCCCCAAGGGGCCCTATCATGGCCCCTTTTGGAGCAGCGGGTGCTCCGAGGGGCCCTCAGGGGCCCCTTCTGGCCTCTCTTTTCGCCCCCCCCCCCCCCCCCCCCCTTGGGTCACCCCCCATGACCACCCGCCCGAACCTCCGGCATGAAGCGCAGGTTCCCGGCCTCGCCCCAGACCAGCAGGAAGGCGACCACCTCTCGGGCGCCGGCACGGGGGAGCAGCCACCCTGCAGTGCAGGACCGCACGCCTCTCTGAGGTCCGCGCGGAGTTCTTGCGTCGGCCTCCTCCTCCTCCTCCTCCTCCTCCTCCTCCTGCTGCACGGTGGTCTTCGGTGCCGCCCCTCGATCTCCTCGATCCGGGCCCTCTGGCCCCGTTGCCTGGGCCTTGCGGCCGTCGCGCATGGCTCTGGGACGCAGGGCGGCCCCCGGGCTCCAAGGGGGCTCGGGGCCCTGACGCTGTCTGTTGGGGTTGTTGGGCCAGCGCCTGCGCAGGGGCTGAAGCTGATCGAGTCGGCTGCGAATGGGCCGACCGTCGTAACTCTTTCTGATTGCCTCCAGCGGTTCAAGATCAAGATCAAGAGGTTTCCGGACGTCTTCGTCGGTGCCAAGCGGCACTCCAGGCTCGGGATGCCCTCCCGCGGCTGCGCCTCGCCGAGAGCGTCCCACGGGCGCCCCGATCGCCCCGAACGACCGCCAGTGAGCCGAGCTATGACCAGAAAACGAGGAGGAGGAGGAGGAGGAGGAGGAGGAGGAGGAGGAGGAGAGGGAAAAGAAGAAGAAGAAGAAGAAGAAGACAACTAGCAATAACAGTAACAATAATAAAAAGAAACATGCTACGAATAAGCAGAGGAAGAAGAATAAGAGGAAACATGCGAAGGATAATTATAATAAGAAGAAGGAGAAGAAGGAGGAGAAGGAGGAGAAGAAGTGAATGACCAAGGCCATGTCGGCGGACGTCGGGGTATGTTGGGGCTGGGCCTTGCAGAGAGGGGGCTGTGCAGCGGGGCCCGCGAGCCAGACCGCGCAGCCGGCTCCGCCGGCGTCCCCCGCCCCCCCAGTGCCGCTGGAGGGGCCCAGGGACACACAGCGAGATGCACACAGAGGTCCCAGGGATCCCCCCCCAAAAAAAGTTTCCATATTTTCCTGGAGTTTCGCCCTCCAACCCCACTTCCCCTGCTTTCCCATACTCTCCCGGGGACACACGGTGAGATACACTTTTTGGGTCTGCGGGGCGAGAGCGAACCTCTTCCGCCAAAAGCTAGGCGGGCTACGCACAGCTTTGATTAGGGAGACAGGGCACAGGAAGGCGGGGCCGCAGGCGGCCGGAGTGGGCGAAGCCCGGGGTGCAGGCGGTGCCGAAGTGGATGTGCAGGAGCAGGTGCGCCGCGGACTGGTACCGGGGGCGAAGACCCGGAGGGTACACAGTGAGATACACACAGATCCCAGGGATCCCCCCCCTCATATGTTTCCATATTTTCCTGGAGTTTCGCCCTCCACCCCCACTTCCCCTGCTTTCCCATACTCTCCCTGGGATCAACGGTTCATTGTGTCTGTGTGTGTGTGCGTGCGTGCGTGCGTGCGTGCGTGCGTGTGTGTGTGTGTGTGTGTTTGTGTGTGTGTGCTTGTGTGTGTGTGTGTGTGTGTGTGGTGTGTGTGTGTGTGTGTGTGTGTGTGTAGTGTGTGTGGTGTGTGTAGTGTGTGTGTGTGTGTGTGTGTGTGTGTGTGTGTGTGTGTGTGTGTGTGTGTGTGTGTGTGTGTGTGTGTGTGTGTGTGTGTGTGTGTGTGTGTGTGTGTGTGTGTGTGTGTGTGTGTGTGTGTGTGTGTGTGTGTGTGTGTGTGGGGGGGTTCGTCCCCTCGTGAGCCGTAGGCGGCCACGTGGCGTGCTCCACAAGCCCTGAACCGAAAGACCTTGCCATCTCTTGGGAGTTGGCCGTTGCTTGGCGGGGGGTGGGCGACGAACGGGGGGCGAAGTCAAATGCACGTGGGCGTGCTCCAAAGCCCTGAACCGAAAGGCCTTGCCATCTCTTGGGAGTTGGGCGTTGCTTGGCGGGGGGGGGGGGGAAAAGGGCGACGAATGGGGGGCGAAGACCCCTGCGCGTGGCGTGCTCCACAAGCCCCTGAACCCAAAGACCTTGCCATCTCTTGGGAGTTGGGCGTTGCTTGGCGGGGGGGGGGGACGAAAAGGGGGGCGAAGACTCCTGCGCGTGGCGTGCTCCACAAGCCCTGAACCCGAAAAACCGTGCGGGGGGGGAGCGACAGCTGGGGGGCAAAGAACCGGGCCCCTCCCGGGGCCCCTCCTGGGCCCGGCACCCCCCCGGAGGGCCGCGAGGGCTCAGAAGGCGGAGCTCCCGCGCGCTGCCCCCTCTCCAGGCGGGCTGCCAGTGATCTCGTGTGCTCGCGCAGGAGGTGCGGCAGGTCCGCGTCGTGTCCGACCCCGGCGTCGGTTCTGACCCCGCGGAGGTCGCCCCACGAACGAGGGGCCGACCCCGGGCCACGGGCGGCGTCTTCGGGGGCGGCCACGAGGGGGGCGTAAGAGGGGGGGGGGGGGGCGCAACTCACGGCTGGCGGCACGTGCGCGGCCCACGAGGGGGACCAGGGACGCAATAGAATAAGAAGAGGCGCCATGAAATCTGGGGAAATACATGGCCCACGCTATGATAGCCACCCCCCTAGTTATCACTCCCCGCTGGGTAGTCGAAGCCAATCTGGCGCCGATCTGGCGGGCCCAATCTGGCAAACGGTGGCAATCTGGCCAGGGAGCCAATGCGAATCCAGCCTGGCGAACGACAACCCCCCCCCCCAACCTGGTCCAGCCAGATGGGCCCCAGGAGCCCAATCCAATCAGCCAGTCTGGCCTTCGACTACCCAGCCTCAGCTTAGTTACAGATTTCAAGATCTGACTCTGCTCATTTTACCTCTCCTACGTTCCAGGACCAGGCAGCGCCGGCCCGACAGTCTGTGCTTGATGGGGATGGATTGGGACTTGGTTGGGGGGTAGGTCGAATTAAATCGGGCGTGTCCCCCTGCAGGGGGATTTTCGACGAAAAAAATGCCGCCAAAAAGGTCGACAAAAACTCAAAACATAGTCCCCGAAACCCCAACCGCACGCGCTGGGGTCGCCGCCCGGGCCCGTGGAGCGATCGCCCGCGCACACGTGAGCTCCAGGAGCTCGTCTGCCGCACCGCAGGGGCCCGCACGGCAGGGGCCCGACAGGAGGGGAGGAGGAGGAGGAGGAGGAGGAGGAGGAGGAGGAGGAGGAGGAGGCAGAGGAAAAGGGAGACCAGTCCAGAAGAAACCCTCCGCAAGAAACCCAACCCCGCGACCCCAGGACGTCCACTGATCTTTATTGCGGGAACGCCACGCCTTCCATGGCAGAACCATCGAAACTCAGGAAACCCAGGGCACCCTGGAGGCGAGCAGGGTGTTTCCTGGCATGGATCTCCACTGTAAGCCACGCGTGAACTCCAGGAGCTCGTCTGCAGTGGAACCCGAGGCGGCAGCAGTGGAACCCGAGGCGGCACCACTCTTTTGGGATCTGCAGTTTTGCTTTCGCGCTGGAGCCTGCAGGGAATCAATTATATCTAAGCGCACACAGTTGCGAAAGGAGAGAAGGAGGAGGAGGAGGAGGAGGAGGAGGAGGAGGAGGAGGAGGAGGAGGAGGAGGAGGCTCGGAGCTGGAAGAGGAGCAGGAGGAGGAAGAGGAGGAATAGAAAGACGAGGACGATCGTGGCGTAGGAGGTTTGCCGTGTCTCGAATGTTTCGAAGCGCAGCGCAAGCATCGGACCAGATTTAAGAGTAGGACCCCGGCTCTCAAAGCCCCATCTCTGGGCCGAGGGCCGACTCTGTCAGCGCCTGCTACCGCTAAAACACGTGGACACACGAACGCCAAGCAAGAGTGCGAGCCCCTTGCCACATAGAGCCCAGGGCACCGTGGACAGCCCAGGCACGAAGAGCGCAACGGCACCCCTCCAAGGCTAGAGCTGCTCTTCGAATTTCTCATGTAAGTATCCCACGCAGTGTTCGTTCTGGGGGTGGAGGAGGAGGAGGAGGAGGAGGAGGAGGAGGAGGAGGAGGAGGAGGAGGAGGAGGAGGAGGAGAAGAAGGAGGGAGGAGGAGGAGGAGGAGGAGGAGGAGGAGGAGTTGGAGGAGGAGGAGGAGGAG